GAAGGAAGGTTGGGCAATCCTACGGAAGGAAGGTTGGGCAATCCTACGGAAGGAAGGTTGGGCAATCCTACGGAAGGAAGGTTGGGCAATCCTACTTCCGTAGTGATACTGCCTCGGAAACCCAAGGAGGGGTCACTATGTTATGTGCCTACTCGACGGCACATAACAATAACAACAATTATGTTGAATACTACATGTTAGTTAGATACCCTTTTAAACACTTTATGTAAATTAACACATTAATTCTCAGAACAGCCTTATAAAATACTATTACCATCTCCATTTACAGATGAGGAAACTGAAGTACATAGAAGTAATTAGACCAAGGGGACCCAGATAGGAAATGGTGGAGTCAGGCTCTGAACCCAGATACTGATTTGAATGCAGTGGTCATACACTGTACTGTCACATCACATTGCCTCTATATACACCTACACTCACATTCTTTTCAGGAGTCTTAAAAATGGAGACTCTCAGTGCCCTCAGTTTTCCTACCAGTCCACGACCTAGAAAGAGGTCAAGGTCAGAGATGGGGCGAAGTTTGAGTCAGGAAGCATACCTGGTCTTCTGGAAGTTTCCCATCATCTTCCAGGATCTGAAAGAGCTCTCCCTCAGCATAGTCTGTTACCACCACTACCTGCAGGGAGAAGGCAATGGTGCCAATGGCTCCAGATTTATGCATCTAAGGAGGGAAAACTCCTGGGACCTTGTGCTGGGGAGAGATGACCCAAACCACCAGAGCACACCTCTTTGTCAGTCTCAAAGCTGTCGAGCATATGCACAATGTTGGGATGTCGCAGACCTCGCATGATTTCAATCTCTCGTTGCAGGTTCCTCAGTTCCTTCTCTGAACGTCCCAATTTTGGAATGAACTTCAAGGCCACAACCTGTCAGTGGTGAGGTGAAGAGTCAAGCCCTAACCACACTACTGAGAAGGGCTAGAACTTCAGCATCAGCCTGACAGTCCCAGAACACAGTCTTTAAACTGTTTTAGCAACTCTCATTATACCTGCTAGTCTCCTTTTTCACTTTCTCTGTGGTACCCTGACCTTACGTAGGCTTCCCTCACCCCAAGTTCCAGGAGAAAATAGCCTATGCCAGACAGATCCCTTTGGTTACATTAGGGAAAACCTAGAAAAAAAAGTGGATGCTGGGAGAGGTGTTCGGATCTAGACAAAGGACTCAACACTCCAGGATTTATGGTAAAAGAAGAAAAAAATGAAGTGGAAAGAAGTGAGTTCATGTAGTTGTATCTTCTTATAGAGTATGATAAATAATAATAGGTAATGTCTATTTGTTGTTCATTAGCTGCCACGCACTATACTAAGTGATTTAGTGTGACTTATCACATTTAATAAGGAGCTCTTGTAGCACAATGCCTAAGGCATTTGACTGCTAACAAGAATGTTGGCAGTTCAAACCCACCAGCTGCAATCTACTTCCCCTAAAGATGATTTATCACCTTGGAAACCCAATGGGGGTTGATTTGAGTCAAAAGTGACTTGATGGCAGTGGGTTTATTACATTTAATCCTCCAGCCCCATCAATCAGAAGTTCTTATGCTCATTCCATAGTGGGAAAACAGAGAAGTTAACATGTCTACAGTTCTAAAGCTAGAAAGGGGTGGAGCTAGGATGTGAACCCAAGCAATCTAACCCCAGAGCTCATAATCTAGAAGATGTATGAAGAACTCAGTGATTAAGGAATATAGGTTGGAATGAATCCTTCCCTTTTGGCCCCATTTTCCATTAGTCTTCCCCCTCTTGGGAGTTAGGGAGCAGAGTCCCACCCAAAACATATCCCTCTTTGTTGATGACCTGAGCACTGTATTTTCTTCGACCCTTGTACACCCTCCCAAAAGAGCCTTCTCCAATCATCTCCAACACGTGGTACTTCTCCATGACAGACGTCTCAGGAGCCTTCAAAAGGAAGGAAGTGGAGACGGTGGTGAAGGGCTACAGCTCCAGGGACAGTTCTGCACATCTGGGAGGCCTGGTATGGGCATGGGAGAAGGGTTAACGTCAGCGCCTTGTCTTTTCCCCTCCCACAAAAATCCAGGCTTTGAAAATATGGAATGGTAGAATGGATGAAAAGGAGCTCTGGTAGCTTAGTGCCTAAGGCACCTGACTGATAACCAGAAGGCTGGCGGTTCAAACCCATCAGCTCTCCTCGGAAGACAGATGGGGCAATCTACTTCCGTAGTGACACTGCTTCGGAAGCCCAACGAAGGGTCGCTATGAGTCGGGTCCGTCTCGAAGGCACATAACAACAACAACAAAGTGGATGGAAAGATGAAGGATAAGATCTTCCTGCAACGCCTCTTGGAGCTCTTTCGCCTTTCTAGACTCTCCAGTCCCCCAACCAGCCTCATCCTACCCAGATCCTTTAGATCCAGCCTCGCCCAGCCTCGCCCACCCAACCCCATCCCACCCCTAACCCCCCCCCCATCGCTTTCGACAGCGCCTTGACAACTCCGCCCCTCCCCCAGCCTCGCCCACCCGACCCCTGCCCTTCCCCCAGGCCCACACGTCCACCCGTTCGCTCCTCCTTCCCCACAGCCTTGCCGCCGACCCCGCCCCCCTCAACCCAGCCTTACCCACCTAATCTCGCCACTTCCCAGCCTTCCTCTTGTTCCTTCCTCTCTCAACGTCTTCAGCACCCTCGCCCACCCCCCGCTGCCCGCGCGCCTCACAAGCCCGAGCCCCTCTTCCAGTCTAGGAGTTTCAAGCTCCTCAGGCCGAGGGACGCCGGCTCTGGCTTTTATCCCGCCCCTTCCGGCTCCCTAGGTAGTTTGCCTGATTTGAAATTCTCTTCCACCCGCACTGCCAGTCTCTTTGTACTCCTATTCTTACCAATTTTGCTTGCTACAACTGGAAAGAGTCTGGAGGACAAAGGCGTTCAGCTGTGTGGAGGAGACGGTAAACTGCCTATAGGCACTTGCTAGGGCATTTCCGAACTGTCTCTTAGCCATTAGGCCCCAGTAAGGACCCGGAGTCTGCGGTTGCCTAGAAACGATTGCTAGCCGCCCTCCTGATCTCCCTTAGTTTTTCGCCTCCGACCTCCCCAAGAGCATTTCCGGTTCCGGCTAGGAGCCGGAGGAGAGATGGCGGTGTCGGCGTCGGCAGCTGCCGGGGAAGAGTTCTGGTAACTTTGGGGTATGGGCTTTGGCCAGCCGCCTGGCTCCGGCCGAGGGACTAACGGCGGCCGCAGAAGGCCCGCCTGGCGGGTGTATGGGGTGGAGCGGGGGATGAGAGCGGAAACGGTGATATCTCTCCGTGGGAGAGCCTCTGAACTGGGGAGCAGATGGATGGAAGGGCACTGGTATGAGCGGAAGGAGACCGGGTGTGGGCCTGGACATTTCGAGCCGCGCCTCATCTGCTTCAGTCCCCACCCTGTCCTGTCTTCTCCTCCTGGAGCAGGTTTGCTCGGGGGTCAGTGAAATGCCTGCTTGTTAGACCTGCCGCCTTTCACCTCCAGCTTTCGTTCCCCTTCCCCCTTGGATCAGTCTGTTTGTTCTGACGCCTTCCTCAATCTTCTCCCTCTCCGTACCAGACTAATGAGGACTGTTATCTAAATAAAGCTTTGCACTTCACAAAAAACTCTCCTAGTCCTTCTCTCCAGCCTTCTTAACAAAAGACCAGAACCTGGAAGGACTCTGGGATTTGGGAACAGGGTAACTATGGCCTCATTCCACACTTCACTATGTGCTAACCAGGTCACTTAGCTTCTGTGAGTCAGCATCCTCAGCCATACAAAGAAGTGGGTGTGGCATCTACTTCATAGAATCGTTGAATCGTTCATTAAGATCGTTGAGGTATAGGCAGCTGAGAAGAGATGTGGCCCCAAGGAAGGTAACTTGTCAAAAGGTAAATATTGGCAACAAGGAATCCAGCTCTGTCTGACTCCAACTGTCATATTCTTAGTACTAGGATGTTTTGCAGTCGCTTTTTATGTCACCACCTCACCACTCTATTGCTCCATACCTCACATCTAGGACTCAAATCAGAGCTAGAGTGGGTGAAGTACTAAAGGCCTCCTAACTCAGGCGTTTCATTGGCTCAGGGGGTGCTGGCTTTGATTGAGACCGTTTAGGCTAGTGGCTTCAGACTGTTGTGGGGAGATTCTCAGACATCTTGAGCCATGGAGATGGCAGCAGTGGCTGTAAAACCTAGGCTGGTGCTCTGAGCCACCTACTCCTGCGTCACCCAGAACTTCTCTGCTGTTACCTATTTTATATTTTGGGGTTTCTGCCTAAGAGTGAGGAGCCCTGATGGTGCACTGGTGCTCGGCCATTAACTAAAAGGTCAGCAATTTGAACCCACCAGGTGCTCTGCAGAAGAAAGATGTGTCGATCCGCTTCTGTAAAGATAACCTTGGAAACCCTATGGATCTCATGGGGCAGTTCTCTATTCTGTAGGGTTGCTATGAGTCAGAATTGATTTGACAGCAAAAGCGTTTTTTGTTTGTTTTGCCTAAGGCAAAACAAACAAAACCCACAAGCAGGCAGGTTTGAGGACCACTAATATAAAGGCCATGCTAGAAAAGCCCAGTTGTTAAAGAGGGAACAATGTTTATACCTATTGGAACACAAACAAAGTTTTCATCTTCATGTATCACCTTTGTAGAGCTGTGGACGGAAACCAGCCACACATCCTTATGTCATTATAATCGCAGTTTGTAATTAAGTACATATATCCTCTGACTTACAATAGAACAACTAGGTCCTGACTGGACAGGTTGATGTTAGATCAAGCAGGCAACCAAGGTCATAAATATATCCAGAATACTCTGCTAACTACATCCTTTCTGCTTTCCTTTTAAGGGAGAAAGATATGTACAAGCAGGAAAAAAAAAAAAAGAGGACATAGACTATGGCCAGATACTATTAGGTACTATACATAAATGAATCATCTTTAGTTCTCATAATAAACGCTAAAGAGCAGGTGGTACTGTCCATATATGGTAGGGCAACTCAGGCTATCAGAGTAGGTCACTACCCAGATTACATAGCTGGTAATTGGTACCTATTACTGACTTCAAGGCTCATGGCTCTTCCATTGCAACACAGCCTTTATACCACCTAGACGTTTGTTCTGTTCAGATTGGTATCTCCTTTAAGAAGGATTTGGGTGACTGCTGTTGGCAGTGTGTATAGCGAGTAGCCAGGGCACTGTCTGGGTCCCACGGCAAACTGGGGGGTAAGCTAAGAGTAGTATTGCTAACTTCAGTGCTGATGGATAAACATCGTATTTGAGGATCAGTGAGATGGCTGCTGAGTGACTACCAACAGTGGAATAAAACTTAAATGAGAAGTTAAGAAACCTGACTATGATGCCATTTCTGCCTCCTAAGCCTTGAGATTTGGCCTAGTTAGTTCACCTCTCTGGGAATTTGTTTTCTCATCTTTAAATAGAAATGAGCTCTAAAATTCTGATCCCCTGCTTTCTACTTTGCCTCTTGACAACGTAGTCCTCCATTTTTCATGTGAGAATGCATTCAGGCAGACTGTCATTTTCTACAAAGTCAGCCATCATTGGCCTTAGCAGGCTTCAACCAGGAGAGCTGTAATGATAAGCTGGTCTCCCTCTGTCTCTCTAGGGTCCTTCCCTCTGAAGTTGAAGTGTTAGAGTCTATCTATCTGGATGAACTACAGGTGGTTAAAGGAAATGGAAGGTATGTATCCAACTAGGGGTGGGAAGGAGTCCTCTTAGTAATGAGGAGAGGATTCCATGCAGAGTGTGGTCTTAAGTCACTGAACCTTGCTTCAGAGCTAATATTTCTCTCATGAAGACAAAGGCTATTCCTTTCATTCTCCCAAGAGAGAATCCAATGCTCACTTTACTCTCCCAAGAGACAGACTCCAATGCTCACTTCCTCCACCCCTTTACCACCTCCCTGTCCTCCCCAGCCCTCGAGCCCTTGCCCAGTCATATCCCAGGTCTCCACTTCATCCACCTGCAGATCTTCATGGGAGATCTGTATCACCCTCCATCCCTCCACTGCAGAGGACCAGGACTCTCAGTACGTCTGCTTCACTCTGGTGCTTCAGGTTCCAGTGCAGGTGAGGCCCCTCGTCTGGCAGCAAAGGGAGGAGGGTTCAGCGGTGGAGCATTCAGCAGTAACTTGCTGTCTCCCCCACTAGTATCCCAATGAGGTGCCTCAGATCTCTATCCGTAACCCCCGAGGACTCTCAGATGAACAGATCCACATGTAAGTTGGGCTTGTTGGAGCAGGGAAAACTCAGGATACAGCTCTGCCTGGTGATGGAAGGGGGCAGGCCTAATGTTTGGGTTGCCCTCTTTCCTCCAGGATCTCACAGGCGCTGAGCCATGTGGCCAAGGCCAATCTGGGCACTGCCATGCTCTATGAACTCATTGAGGTAAGAGATGTGTTGCGCTAGCCTGGGGAAATGTCCTTCCCTCCAAGCTAGAGCAGTTTCTCTGAAGAAGCCATGGGCCTAGAATCTGAAATATATCTGGAGTCACTTCAGCTTGTCATTGTTTACCAACCAACCAATTACTGCTGAGTTGCCTCTGATTCATGGTGACTCCATGTGTGTCAGCTCTACTACTTGATTTTTCAGAAGTAGATTGCTAGGCCTTTCTTCCAAGATACCTCTGGAGGAATGTTGCACTTGGTTAGCAGCCAAGTGCATTAACCATCTGTACCACCCCAGGGACTAGAGTCGTCGTTTAGGTAAGGCCTACATTAGTCTAGGGAGATGAGACTCCTTTCTATTTCAAGGAATTTCCTCAAACACAGTTCTATAGTTTCCCAAGGTTGCCTGTTCCAGCATCTTAAAAGAAATTACTTTTCCTCTTGAACTTGCAGGGGTTTTTTTGCTTCAGTTTCAGTACATTTTCTGTTCTCTTCACATTGGGAATTGTAAGTGGCAAGAGATAGGGATCTCGCCTGGGGGAGAAGGAGATGTCTTAGTCAGCCATCCTTGAACTTTTGAAGGCTAATCTGTGTGGGACTGAGTGAAAATGTCATGATCCTTTACTCAAAGAGTTAATACCCTTGTTAAGAAAACAACCCACATCAAGTACCCAGAACTGCAGTATTGGTTGAGATTAAAAAACATACAATTTAGTACAATCTTGTTGTCCTCTACTTTGGATTGAATTTAAGAAAATATTCAGAATTGAATGAAGGTGAGTGGCCTGGCGTCAGAGTTGTTGCCTTCAAGTCGGCTGAACGAAATGTTGCTTGGTCCTGCACCACCCTCGTAATCTCAGTTATGTTTGAACCCATTGTTGCAGCTGTGTGTCAATCCATTGCATTGAGGATTTCTGTCATATTTGCTGACCCTCTGCTTTACCAAGCATAATGTCCTTTTTTAGGAGGGGGTAGGCATAGTAGATCTCTGTAGCACTGCTGACTCAAGCCTACACAATGCAGCTTTGAACTTGGAATTCTAGAGTTAACTATTCAGTAACAGTGCAAACACTTATTACAAAGCCCAACCCAATGCACTTTGAATTCTTTGCCCATTTGAGTTGTCCAGAAAGTTGAGTTGTTTCAGAAAGATGACTTTCTGAAAGCTGTTTCCAGAATAAATTGATTGCCCCACGAGGGATTGATCAAAGGAGGTTAATCAAGAAAGCCCTCCCAGAAGATAGGCGTTTTCATCAAACTTTTTTTCTCTCCAAGGTATATTTCTTTCATCTCCAAGATAAATTTAAAGTGACTTAATGAGACAAAAACTTAAATTGGATTTGGAAGCCAGGAAGATCAAATTGGGGGGAGGATTGGGCATGTGGAGAAGGACTGGTACCAAGCAGAGGGAGCATCGTGAAGACAGACATGCATAAACACGAGTCAACAAACTGGCTTGGGAAAGGCGGCCCAGCAGTCACTCCTGGGAATGGGCGACAGGCTTGGCTCACAATTCTTGCTTCTGCCTCCCTGTTTGAGCAATGTCTTCTCTCCTCTCAGAAAGGGAAGGAAATTCTCACAGATAACAACATTCCCCATGGCCAGTGTGTCATCTGCCTGTATGGCTTCCAGGTGGGTTTTTCTCTTGGCACCTGGCGATCTGCCAGGACAGTCAGTGGAGGGCTAGTAAAGAGCTCTGGCCCAGAGCCCTGCATCTGTCCTCCCTCCAGGAGAGGGAAGCCTTTACCAAAACACCGTGTTACCACTACTTCCATTGCCATTGCCTTGCACGGTACATCCAGCACATGGAGCAAGAGCTGAAGGCCCAAGGGCAGGAGCAGGAATGGCAGCATGCAGTAGCCCAACAGGTACACTTGACACCCACCCACCCCATCCTAACACTCTTGGTCACTGACTTTCACAACCTTTTCCATCATTTCACTCCAGTGGCTCTGAAACTTTTTAAGGGCCTAGGTCCCTTTGGAAGGAGCCCTAGTGGTTAAGCTCTCAGCTACTAACCAGAAGGTCAGCACTTTGAGCCTACCAGCAACTCTGCAGGAGAAAGAAGATAGTTTCTGTAAAGATTTACAGCCTTGGAAACTATGGGACAGTTCTTTACCCTGTAGGGTCGCTGTGAATTGGAATTGACTCGACGCCAATGAGTTTCAAGAAGTGCGTTCTTATATACTAAAACCAAACTCACTGCCATCGAGTCAGATCTGACTCAAAGCGACCCCTCCTTGGGTTTCTGAGGTAGTATCGCTGCAGGCGTATATTGCCCAGCCTTCCTTTTGAGGAGTGGCTGGTGGGTTTGAACTGCCAGCCTTCTGGTTAGCAGTTAAATGCCTTAGGCACTACCACCAGAGCTCTCCGCTTTCTTATATATGCTTCTCATATTGCATGTATTTTAGGGAGTTCCCAGACCCCTAGTTCCCATCCCCTGCTCATTCCTGCCTCATGACTGAATAGGTATGCCTCTGCCCTTCAGTCTCCGCCCTCTGCAGAGTGGGAGGGTTGGCTGGCTGATCCGACAGCTGGGGTGTGATTTCTCTTTTTTAGGAGGCAGTTGGTGTGCAGTGTCCAGTGTGCAGAGAGCCCCTCGTGTATGATCTTGCCACATTGGAAGCAGCCCCTGAACCCCAGCATCCCATGGTAAGGGAACTCCTGAGCCAGGAATAATGGCATTCTCCAAGGAAGGGGGAATGACAGCTTGCTTGCCTTCAATGAGGTCTCCAGAATGGGGCTTGACCTTCCTAGGACCTCTCTGCAATGCACTAGTCCCACTGGGAGACTAAGGCTTAGGCCTAGAAGCTGGAATCTGAGGGGCCAAATGAAGCACCTAGTGCACATTCCTTGAGATAGTCCTAAAAGAGCAGGGTTTGAGTCTGCCTTCACCTGCCTGCGTATTCTTTCCCCTGGCCATCTGCTTCCTTCCCTCTAGGAGCTGTACCAGCCTGATGCAGAGAGCTTGCGCCAGCAAGAAGAACGCAAGCGGCTCTACCAGAGGCAGCAGGAGAGGGGGGGCATCATTGACCTTGAGGCGGAGCGTAACCGGTACTTCATTAGCCTCCTGCAGGTGAGGGAAGGGTTTCCCACTCTTCCTGTGTGCCACCTTCCTACAAACACCATGGCCTTGGTGCGATCTATTCTACCCACATTGGTTATAGGATGGTGGTTGGCTCTGGTAATGAGAAATGGGCCAACTGTCCTCTGCTCTATAAGAACTGCATCTCCTACTTCTTTCTAGGCTCCTGCCCCTTCAGAACCTGAGTCAGCTGTAGATGTCTCCGGAGTGTCCCACCCAGCTAATGCCCTTGGCACGGAACTGTCCACCTCATTAACTGCCCAACCTACCCTGTCAGCTCTTCTGCCTGTGGCCTCCCAACACACGTGTGAGAAGATTTCAGGGGCTGGGCCAAATCAGCAGAAGTTGGGCAAGACCCAGAGAGCTATGCCAGATCTGCCCAGAGCCAGTAGAGACTCCCGGCAACTGCCTGAACAGCGGCTCCTGAAGGGAAGGGAGTGCTATGCTGCCAGAGGTACCAGGGATACTCATGAACTGCCACCTCCTGAGGGGCCCTTGAAGGAGCCCATGGTCCAAAACCAGAGGGTTCAAGATCTTCCCCAAGAGGAAGGCCCTGGCAACCGGCAGGGCCCCCCACCCCGCCGGACTCGGGACTGTGCTCACTGGGGGCACACCAAAGGTCGGACATCAGGCTCTTCCTACCCCCGTGTGCCTCAGGGTCGGAGGGTCTACAGGCCTGGCGGTCGGAGACAGCACCTGGGCCTGGAACCTGAAGATGGTCCCTAGCAATACTGCTAGGGGCAGGGGATTTGGGGTGGGAGGGGGCAATAAAGAGACTTGGCCTTCGGCATTTGTGCTCAGTAGTGCCCGCCCTGTGAGGTAGGGTTCTCTCTAAATTCCTAGTAAGATTAGGATAGGGTAGAGCTGTTCCGGACTGTTCTCAGGGCTCAGGGTCTGGATAAAGGGATCCAGCATCTCACCCAGTGGACAGAGGGAATGCTAGTGGGATAGCAACATTTGGGAACACTTAGGAACCACCTTCCACATAACCCATTGTGTAGTGTGTATTTTTTTTTTAACGCCTTTAGTAAGAACATCTTTTCCTGTGTTCTGCAGTACCTCTTCTCCGCTTGTCTCAGGCTGTTTCTGTTGTCCCTGACCTGTTACTTACTAGTAGCCACTGATTCAGTTTTGACTCATGGTGACCCCACGTGCAGAACAGAATTGCTCCATGGGGTTTTAGAGGCTGTGACCACTCAGAAACATCACCAAGCATATCTTCTGAGGCCCTTTGAGTGGGTTCGGGTCGCTGACCTTCCAGCCAGCAGTCCAGTGCTGAACTGTTCACACCACCCAGGAACACACTGCCCCTTGCAGACAGGCATCTGCAGTTGCACACTCTGCTTTCCACTCATGTACCAATACAGTGAGAGAAGAAGGGGGCGTTGAGACAGAGGAGGACAACAGGTGTTTATTGGTTTCCTAGATTTGAAGAGCCTGGTCATCTCTTCAGCGTCTCAGCATTGTGAACTGCTCCTGCAGGGTCATTTTTATACAGCATGAAGTAGCCCTGCACCTGTGCGGGACTGATCTGAGTTGTAGCTTGAAGAACATGTTCTGCAAAGGCCTCAGCCAAGGAAGGTGCTTGCCCTGGATAGAACCTCTGGAACATCTGGGTCAGCTGCCAGTGTGAGCAGTAGCCCACATACTCCTTCAGGTCTACTCGCCCAGGGCGTACCAGGGCAGGATCCAGCCTAAGAGGAGGAAGCAGGGAAAGCATGACTATGGGCACCAGTACCACCAGCAGCCCTATAGATGGTGCTCCCTTCTGAACCTCAGGATCCTCCCAGGGCACTGAGATGAGGTGGAATCCCCTTCTTACCTGTCAACATGGTTGGTTGTCATGAACACAATGCGTGCTTCTGTGGAAGCCACACCATCCAAGGCATTGAGCAATCCACTAAAGGTGAGACGACCTAGACCTTGATACTTTATTGGGTCTGAAGGAAAGCAACAATAAAGTATGTTATTGCCATCGAGTCGGACCCAACTCATAGTGACCCCTCCTTGGGTTTTCAAGGTGGTATCACTACAGAAGTAGATTGCCCAACCTTCCTTCCAAGGAGTGGCTAGTGGGTTTGAACCACCAGCTTTCTGGTTAGCAGTCAAATGCCTTAGGTACTATGCTACCAGAGCTCCTTAATAAAGAAGTAAAAATGGTCATATCTCTTCTTAAAATGGGCATCTCTTTCCATTCCCTTCCCCTATTGGTGCCTCTTGGCTCTTGTAGCTAACCCTGGCATCCTCTATGAGCCTCTGGATTTCAATTCTCATACGGTTTTTCAAGGAGCTTTGGTGGCACAGTGGCTGCTAACCAAAAGGTCAGCAGCTTGAGCTCACCAGCTGTTCTGCAGGAGAAAGATGGACAGCCTTGGAAACCCTACAGGCAGTTTGCTATGAGTTAGGTTCAACGTGATGGTAGTGGGTTTGGTTTGCGTTCATTTGGTAACATCCCCCAAGCCCCCTCACTTACTCTCCGCAGCTAAGTCTCGACTGAGAAAAGCGGCATCCACATCCTCCAGGAGCACCAGGCTCTGCTGCGGGGCCACGCTTAGCAGGTGGTTGAGCCGGTCATCAGAGAGGCTGGAGTCAGTGAGGCTCAGCAGGCAGATACTGTGCTGCAGTTCTCCTGCCAGGGCCATGCTAGGGGGTGGGGGAGGGGATGACAGGAGGAAGCAGCCCCCCGGGAATTCTTCCTTGGGCCCAGTTGCCCATTCCTCATTGTCCTGGGAGGGCATGTCTCAAAAGTCTAACCTGCCATCCCACCCTGATGTTCCATGCATCATGGTTATCAAAGACCCTGTTCCCAGGTTTCTTTTCCTTTCCAACCCCATCAACCCAGTTTTTCTCCAAAAGTTAAATGTTATAAAGTTAAGGGAAATTTTGACTCTACTTACATAAAACTGCTTTTTCCACAGCCAGGAGGCCCATAAAGCAGGTAGCCACGTCTGTAGGGAATGCCTAAGAACATACCAGGATGATCAAGACCACAAATGAATCAGGTATCTTGCCCCAGAGGTCCACATTCATCCCCAGCCATGCCCTCTGGAGGCCTGATGGCCTTGCTACTGGAAGAAATGATCCTGTAGGCAACTTTTCTTTCCCCTTCATTTGGGAAGTTGGTCTAAAGTTTTCTATTTGCCTCATCTCCTGTCTTAACAATACATTAAAAACAATCCAGTCAAGACTCCAGCTACTCACCTCTGTCAATGTACCACTTGGGATTATCGATGAATTCCTTGATGTCTCTGACAATTCGGTCAGTCAGACCCTGTTGCAGAACCACAGAATTCAGTGGCCGGCGGCGGCGTGGATAACCAAAGGGGCGCCATTCAGAGCCCACGGCTGTGTACATCACTGTCTTCCCTTCCTCCTGCTGCAAGGCTAGCTCTCGAGCTGGGAGGGGGAGACAAAGCCAAGAATTCATCTTTTGCCATGGCTGATTCTTGATCTGGACAGGGAGCTGTCCTAAACAGCTGCTTCTGGCTCCTTGCTCCCAGGGGCTCTGGTCTTACTCCTCCTCTCCAAGGCTGCTTACTGTGATTTTAAATGCCCCTACTTCTGCAGCCCCTCTGTAAAGCTCCTATGCCATCCACACCTTCCTTCAGGATGTTGAAGAAAACTTTGCGGTCAGTGCCCAAGGCCGTGAAGGTGACAGATTCCCATGGAGTCCCCGTCTGCAGGTCTATCATCTGCATCTCTCGACTTCGTTCCACTCGGATCCACTTCCCCTGATACCTGTATAAGAATGGCCAAAATGGGGTGAGCAGATAGGTCAAACCTTGCTCCCCTCATTCTCCTTTTCTGCTTTTAGAGCTCTCCTTGGCTCCAACCTTACCAGATAAAATGGTTTCCAGGGCTGGGAACAAATTCAAACTTGGTGGAGATGCGGCCACTCTCATGCTGAAGGTATGAAGTCTCGACACTAAGGTGCTGAGTTCTGGTACTGTGGCGGGTGAGCCAGCTAAGCAACCAAGCATAGCTCCTGTCTCGAGCAGGGACTTCCAGTGTGATCATGTAATGGCGCCGGAATGCCACCATGCCCAGCTGGGCACCCTTCCGGGCCAGGGCAAGGGCTGTACCCACACCCACCAGCCCAAATCCAGCCCCAAAGTAAGGATTGTCCTTCAGGGCCAGAATAAAGTCTGAGAGCGGCATCTTGAAAGGGAAACACTGAGCCTTACAGGCCCTGAGGCATTATCAATACCTACGGGGAGGGGGCAGTGCAAATGGGATAAAGCACAAGATTAGCTTAGAAACTGGACTCCATAATACCTAACCCACCCCCACCCCATTCCTTCCTGTAGAAGGACAGGTCAGCACCAATGTATTTCAATATCCTCCCTTTCAGGGTGTAAATGCCAAGGGCCAGAGAACAGAGACTCCAGGTTCATTTCCCCAGTTTGTCCATCATTAGCCTGTTCATACCTGTTTCCTGCCAGAGGATGGTATCTGGAGAATCCTTAAACCCAAGGGAGCAACCCAGCTTCGCTTCAGGATAATAGAAGATTTGTTGTGGTCCCCGAGACCAGCTGAGACAGAAAAGGGGTCCGATGCCTGCAGTCAGCTGGCGGTGAAAAGCGACTCTTCCACTGACAAGGCAGTAACTTCATGAATTGAGTAAGGTCTTTCAAATATCCTCTCTCTTTCATATCCAATTCCTCATAACCTGTCCTATTTAGAATGTTATTTCCCACCTAATTGTCTCTAAAATGTTTAAATTTTGGTTCTTGAAACTGCCTCTTAATGGATCTCCACCTCCAGCTTTGTGCAGATGCTGCAGGGGAGATCAGCTCCAGTTCTATCACTCACCCTGCTCTAACTCCTAAACTCACTGCCGCCTAGTGGGATCAGACTCATAGTGACCTCTCCTTGGGTTTCCGAGACGGTATCTCTATGGAAGTAGATTGCCCAACCTTCCTTCCGAAGAGTGACTGGTGGGTTTGAACCACCAGCCTTCTGGTTAGCAGTCAAATGCTTTAGCACTACCACCAGAGCTCTAATACCTAGGAGTGTATCAAAGGTACTGTAGGTATGGCACCTGCCTTCTCTTGAAGGGGGCGGTGCCATCGAGCAGTTTTTATTAACCAGCACTAGCTGTGAGAGATAATTCAGCAGATGAAAACTGATACTTGGAGAGCCCTTTCCAGACTTCAGGGCTTTCTTCTCCCACTACCTCCTTCTTCCCACTGGTCTGCTCAAATCCCTATGGTCTCTGCAGTGCCATCACAACACCCCTCCCTGCCCTGGCTCAGCCTCCATCAAACCGTATGCCAAATGCCCTCTTTTCCCCTGAAAAGTTTCTAGATGTTAGACTATTTTCTCCCAATGTAATCTTCAACCAAACCGGGAGAAAGTTATCTGTGATCCGGAGAAGGCCCAAGGGGATGGAGGGAACCCTAAGAGCTGGTTTTTAGAAAAATGGTCTCTCTTCCATGAAAATGAGTAACTGGGTCCCCATAGCAGAGTTTTGATTGTTAATTGTCAAGATCCACAACGATGTTAAATATTTAAGATGGGTGTCCGATGGTTATACAGGGCACTACATACGCCTCTGCTATCCCCAATGGTTCCCAAAAGACGATTGAATTAGGTACGAAATCCTCAGTCCAGTACTCAAAATTCTCAGCGACACGGCACCCATCTACCTTCCCTGGCTTAGCTTCTAATACTCCCCGTTCAAAAATATGCAAACCACCTCCCACCTCCTTGCTCCTGCAGATCTCTAGGCTAGGGACTACCCGTTCATTCCCTCCATTCTCGCGAAATGAAATTCTGCCCATTTGCTACTTCCTCCACGGAGCCTTTGCTGAATCCCCCAAGTAAAATTTGCCCAGGTCTGGTTCTAGGCTGTAAGATCGCAAAGGATAAGGGCCAAAACGTTTCTAGTATCCTGCCCTTACGCCTCCCCACCCCGACCCCCAACTCCCGCCACTTTGCCTTGAGCCTGCTCGCAGGACGGTGAACTGACAGCAGTGACCTCGGGTGAAGCTCAGGGTTAGGATCCAGATTTCCAAAGCATCTGTGCATGGAAAGCCGCGGATAAAGCCCTCCCTGCCCCTGGACACCCATGCTGGACGCCCAAAAGCACCCTCCCGAGCACTCTCCAAAAATCCAGCTCGCGCCTTCAGCGGCGTGATTTCGAGCGACTCGTCACCCCGCCCCTTACCGCCATGACTCTCTGGCCCTCTTTCTCGATGGTTTCACATCCTCGTACTTGAGGGAAGCGCCTTTCGACCCCGCCCCGACTTCTTTCATCTACTTCCCGCCACACCCACCAAGGAGATCATGCCACTCTGCTCCACAACTCTCTATGGTATTCCTTGGGCTCCTCAGACCGGGCTAAGGGGGAACGGGAACTATAGAAAAAAACCATAGAGTACGCCGCCCGCCGCTGAGAAGAAGAGAGAGTGGCCTCCATGCGCCCGATGTCCTAGAGGCGGCTGGGCTGGAGGCGGTCGCACAAAGGAAGCCCCGGGCGACCTCTCCAGCTGCTGGTCAACCATAGAGATGCAGCTCCCTCCGGCCCTGGGCCGGGAGGTGAGTGAGCCGCTGCGGGGTGGGAACTGCAGGGAGGTGGGGGGTGGAACAAGCTGGAGGCAAAAGTTTCACGATCCCGAGGACAAGGGAGTGTCTGGGTGAAAGGAACCTCCGGGAAGAGGTGCAGAAGGGAGCATGCCGAGAAACGGGGCCCCGGCGCCTCAGCAGCGTCACTGCTATGGACCACTCTTGTGGTACCCGCTGCCTCCTCAGAGTCGTAATGGTGACCATGCTCTATCCCAAGCCTTGCAGGTTAGAAAACGCCTTTTCCATTCGTCGGCTCTTGTGATTCCTGCTCCCGCCCGACAAAGTGAAGCTGTCATCGTTTCCACTTTACAGATGGGAAAACTGAGGTCCAGAGAAGCGAGGTGACTGTCTACCCGAGGCCACACGGTAAGTTAGAGCCTGAAGGCAGATGGGAACACGAGTGTGTTGGTCCCTAGGCCGGGATCTTTCTTTCTCAAGGCTTTGTCACTGCTTAATTTGTCCTTTCTCTTTCTCGTTGCCCCTATCCCAGTGATAAGCTTATCTCTTCTCATGTGTCCACCTATCTCCAACCTTACCTCACCTTGTAACAGATGATGTAGTCATCTTTGGCTCCTTTATGAGACACGTGAAAGTCCCCCAGAAATGGAAATAATAAGTGAACGCTATAATTTACAGAGAATCCCTCTAATCGCAGAAGGGCAATTCCCTGTGATCCGAGATTTTGAGTGTCAGGGTTCTGGAGAACTGGGAGTGTCAGATTGAAGGGTCTTGGTTTCTTTTTTATGCATGTTGCTTCTCATCTGCAATCAAATTTCTTCCTAGCCCTAGGTCTTTATTGACCTTCCATGATGCAATTTCATGAAGTGATTACTGTCATTATTCTTGTTAGTTACAAATTATTCCACTTAAACTCATTTTGGGAGCTCTGGTGGCATAGTGCCTAAGGCATGTGACTTCTAACCAGAAGGCTGGCGGTTCAAACCCACCAGCCACTCCTCGGAAGGAAGGTTGGGCAATCTACTTCTGTAGTGATACCACCTCAGAAACCCAAGGAGGGGTCGCTATGAGTCGGGGCTGACTCGACGGCAGTGCATCGTCTCTCTCGAACTCATTTTAGCCATGTCTAACAGGACATGCAATTTAACTGCCATTCATTCCTGAGGAGTTGTGTTCCAGGGTTCAGTTTGAGGCCATAGCCTCAATGAGTCTGGAATTTCCCTAGATGTATTACTTTATGTGTAAGGAGCCACTCGACTGCGAAGATACCTCGTTTTACTCTGATGCATCTCTGTGGTTATTCTACAGTTCTTTGTCAGAATCAGCTTACTTGTCTGACTTGCATTGGTGGTGGTTTGTGTTCAATGAAGTGATGTCAATAGGCTCCACTTGGAAAAAAAAAAAAAAGCTCAGAGCCTAGGGAGGGACAGTGATGAAAAAACAACAATGAAATGTGACAGGGCCATGTACAAACTGTCATTAGGATGAAAGAAGAGACAACGTTAAGAAGTCTTCACAGTGGAAGTGATGTTTGTGCAGATTCTTTTTGTTTTGTTTTGTTTTAATTGTGATTTGGGTGAAAGTTTACAGAGCAAATTTACTTTCCATACAGCAATTCACATACACTCTGTCTCATGACATTGACTACAATTTACCCCAATGCAACAGCTCCCCTCCCACTTCCTCCCAATAGTTAGCCTCTTCCCTGTTTCCATCCCTCCATGTTCTCCTGCCCCCTGAGCTGCCTCCTTGTGCATAAACATAAACAGCCCTTCTTTCTCTCTGATTGTTCTCTCCAAGGAGTGTATCCACCTTGGGTAATTGTTCAACTCATATGCCTGTCTTTTGTTTGGCTGGAAGCCACAGGTGTGGGTTCAGTTTCAGACCTGAAAGGCAGCTAGGGGCCATAGTCTCAGTGGTTCCGCCAAGCTCTATCAGAACAGCAAACCTGGTCCCTTTTTTTTTTTTCCAAATGATTTTGAGTTTTGTTCCACATTGTTCTCCCACTCTATCCAGGATCTCCTACATAGATCCCCCTCCGAGTGGTTGACAGTGATATCCGGGCACCATCTAGTTTTCCTGTTAGTGCAGATTCTTAACAGGTGGTTAGGAGTTGGTAAGGCAAGTGAGAGAAGGAGAAGGTGGAAGTGAACATCAGGCCAAGAAAGAAGTATGTGGCAAGCATGGAGAATTTTGCGAGTCTGAGGAGTGGCAAGTTGTTTGGTATGCCTGACTTAGAGATCTGTTGATTTGGGAGAAGTGGAAGATGAGTCTGGAACGGTCAACAGAGCCTGATAATGAAGGGTCTTGTAGCCATGATAAGGAACAGGGAAATCATAAAATGTTAAGAGGGAAAGGGACTTTGGAGATCCTTTGGCCCCACCTAGTTTTGTTGCAGATGAGAAAACCGAGACCCAGGTTGTTTCATGATTTGCCCAAAGTCACTTAGTTAAGTGGTTGCCGAGTCTCTGTAGTCTTTAATATCTTGGCCAGGATTTAGTGTCTCTTTTCTAATATTGTCCCTGTTTATTATCATTTTTATTTTTTGTTTTCAATGTAGTAATAAAAGAAAACCTTTCTTTAGGTTCATAAGGTACAGCATGAGCTGCATAAATTGGTAGGCACTGGCCAGTGTACCCACACCAACTGGGAAGAAAGTGAGACCTCTAACTCTTTGTTTGTTTGTTTGTTTTTTCTGCTTAGCTTACACTTAGTGACCACGGCACTGAAATTGGTGGTGATGACAGACCCTGTGTTGGACTCACAGCCAGGCAACAGTACTGGGGAGATGGATGGACTGTGCTCTGAACTATTACTGATCCCCCAGCCTCTCTCTAACAGTGGAATCCTGGAGCCTGTTCAGAGCCCCTGCACCCCTGGGAGCCCCACACCTTTGCCTGCCCACTCAGGCTGTTTGCTGGTCGAGGCCACAGCAACTGAAGAGGGCACAGGGAACATGGAGATCATTGTGGAAGCAGTAGGTGGAAACCTGTCCCCGAGTGCTCCTGGAGACACCCCAGGTACAAATACAGTTTCTATAGGCCAGAGGGACAAGCAGCCCTGAGCTTTTGTCTATTTTATTTTTGATCTTTCTATATAAATATGAAAACACAAGGCAGCATCCTATTTTTATACTTTGAGATGTTGTAATTTGATTTGCAGTTGGCAAATGTTGACTGAAGGCTGGCAGGGTGACGCACAACCCCATACCAACCTCTTGGCAACCTATTCTCAGTGAGGGCTCAGGATGGACTTCACATGTGCTAGGCAATAATCCAGAGGGGAAGATCTGTCTGACAAGTCTGGCTTCTTCTTATTCTTGTAGTCCCTGAGGATTCTTTCTCCCATATTGACCCTCCCACCTGGAACTGCAGCCAGGGATTAGCTAAAAGGCTCAGGCTCTTTCTACCACCTAGGCTTGGCAGGGCTTTCCAGAGGTAATTTGGTACATATTCCCTGCCCTAGTTTCTTGTGTATTATGTACTTCACTCACCCCAGCATGCTATTGAGAGTGGCAGTTGAGCATTTGAATTTATCCTGAGAAAGTCTTCCCTTTGTTTTGCCCCTATCTACACCCTCTTAATTTTAGAAACTACCTGTGTCTTTAGGAGCTCTGGTAGCGTAGTACCTAAAGCACTTGACTGCTAACCAGAAGGCTGGCAGTTCAAACCCACCAGCCACTCCTCAGAAGGAAGATGGGGCAATCTGATTCCATAGTGATACTGCTTTGGAAACCCAAGGAGGGGTCTAACTTGACGGCACATAACAACAACAACACCACCACCTGTTTCTTTAACTTTCGTCCTCCAGGTCATCGTCACCACTTTCTCTGGCAGTATAGTGTTGTGACAGAGAATACTGGGAAAGTTGAACTAAACTTTTATGTTGCTACGTTGTTGTTGTTGTTATGTGCCCTCGAGTCGGGGCATATAACTCATAGCAACCCCTCCTTGGGTTTCCGAGGCAGTATCATTACAGAAGTAGATTGCCCCATCTTCCTTCCGAGGAGTGGCTGGTGGGTTTGAACCACCAGCCTTCCGGTTAGCAGTCAAGTGCTTTAGGCACTATGCTACCAGAGCTCCTAAAGTTTTATGTAGGGTGAAATAAATTTAAAAAATAAATAGCGAGCCTGGGGAAAATATTTACAATATACAAGAAATAGTTAATATCCTTAAGATTAAGAGTTCCACAATAAGAAAAAGATAAAAAGAAAGGAAAAGAAGGGGGTATTTTTGTTGTGTTTTGTTTTGTTTTTTAAAAAAAGCAAAAGGTTGGGATGGGACAAGAAATCTGCTTGCAATTTTTTTTTATTTCTAAAGAAGAAGTAAAAATGGTCAATAACCCTGTGTAAGGATGATTAATCTCATTAACATAGAAATAAATTCTAGTTAAAAAAAACTGTATCATTTTTGCTTGTCAACTTTGAATGTGGGGAAATAGATACTTTTACAATATCTATGGAGAGTATAAATTAATATAATATTTGAAGGTCAATTTAGTTACTTACCACAGTTTAGAATATGTATACTCTTTGACCCAGTAATTCTGCTTCTAGAAATTGGTCCTATAGAAAGACTCAGACACATACACAGATACAGATGTGGGGGGCAGCTTTGTAATGATTGGAAACAACCCCAATGTTCATCAGTTAGGGCAAAATTTTGTTGTGATTTAGCAGTGCTCTGAAATGCCATGAATTAGACAAAAGAAAACGTGAGGAAGATCTAAATGTATTCATAGGTAAAAGTATGAAAGTGTAAAGCTCTTGGTAGAATTGAAAGCAGTACTTTGTCATTTACGTTGCAGAAATCATCCCCATTTGGTTGGTTGTCTTTTAGCTTTATTGGGTCATTTTCTTTGGGAAGTTTCCCCTTCTTATTTGGGCAAAACATACTATCTTTTGTTAATGTTTTCTGGCTTCGGTTCATGTTTGTCCATCCATTTAACAAATATTTATTAAGCACCTATTTTGTGCCAAGTACTGTGCTAGATACTGGGCATACAGACACAGGTGCAAGATAGATTGCCCCTGACCTTATAGGGCTTACAGTCCAGGTGGCAGAACCAGACCATCTCCACTCCACAAATATTAAAATGCGCAGTACATTTTCTGCTGGAAGCTAACACTTGTGAGTCTCATTCCGTCTGATATGTTGCCTTTCTCTGTTGGCCCTTGCCTGCAGGTGTCCTGGTAAAGGTGGTGGAAGTGTACTTCTGTGAGCGCTGCGAGCAGAGCTTTGCGGAGCCCACTCTGCTGGCCCTGCACCAGTGCCCCGAGGCCCTTAGACAGCCTGTGCAGGGCCTGGCTAGCTCCCAGTGCTCTCTAGAGCTGCCTGCCGGCAGCCTCACCCTCCTTGGCCCTCTACAGGGCCAGAGCCCACTAGATAGCCCCCTGCCATGCCCCGTGTGTAGACAGGAGTTTGCCCAACCCCAGGCCCTGAAGAGCCACTTCAAGATTCACCGAGGCACTCCTGACACCTTCTCCTGCCCAGAGTCTGGCTGTGTGTTCTCCTCTGAAGATCGCAAGGGTCTGCAGCACCACCTGAGGCAGACTCACAAGGCGATTCCTGTGCCCTGCTCTTTCCGGGGCTGTTCCTTGCTCTTCGGGAGCCAGCAGGGCATGGAGCTGCACCGGCAGGCCCATTACCCTTTCCACTGCAGCCATTGCAACTTCACTGGCTCCAACGTCAAACTCTTCCGGCAGCATCAGCGGACCCATGGGGTCAGGACACAGGGAGAACTCTCTTCCGTTCAGGGCCTTCCATCCCAGAAGCCACTGCCAGGTATGAGGCAAAGGACCTTGCAGTCCCCTACCTAGAATGCAGTCAGCCCTATGGGAGAGAGCAGTGCATGAATACGAGGGACTCCAGAGTAGGGGCTCAGGAGAAGAGAAGTACTGGATGACACAGAAAGGTATCTAGAAATTATTGACTGGTCAGAATAGATAGAGTAAGAAGAAATCTTTATCCCTGAGAGTGAGTGCAGTTTGACTGTAGGTAACTATGGCCTTGAAGGTAACCAGTATTTTCTTCTGGTCCATTTCAGAACTTTCCAGGCAAAAGTTAAATGTTTATGGGTGGCTATAGGCTCTGGCAGAATGCTTTGTAAACTCCCTTTTAGAGCAAGTGGAAATGGGGTACTTGATGAGAGAAGCTTGGGTTATTTTAAAAATAAACCTTTATGAGGGTGGTGGTGCTTCACTGATTCTTCCTTCTCTTTGGGAAAAAAAAAAAAAAAAAGGTGTAGGTTGAGTAGAGGAGCAGAAGGAAATTGAGAAAATAGGCCAGGAGACACGACGATTCTGATGAGAGAACTTGACTTGCAAAGACTCAGTTATGCTCTGGGACCCAAAGAAAGGACTTGTCTTTCCTGGAGATGGGTCCCTACATCATTACCTCGCTGAGACAGCTGCTTCTGTTAGGGGATGGGAGGAGATTTGAGGCGGCCAGGTGTGATGACCTTGAATTGCTGAGTTGGCTTTCTCAGAATACTTTGGGGATCAGGGTATGTTTACTTACACTGAGCCATGGAAGTGCAATTGATTAGTTCTTACCTTGCAGCCCCTCAGTGATCTAAAAGCTCTTATCTTCAAGGGGTCTGAGTTTGGCATTAGATGACTTTTGATTTACTTTAGACTGAACATTGCTGACAGCTTGCCTCCTGCTCTTCCTATACTGGTCTTGAGTGGGAGTAAATTTATTTACTCAGAATCCCAGACTCCCTCTTAGTAAATGGGGAGGAGGGTGATTCTTCTAGCCAATAAGTGGAGAAGAACAAGTATTCAGTTCTGTCATTGGCTTCTGTAGACTTCATCAGATTTTGTGTCTCTAGCACCCAAACTAGCCCCAGGAGAGGGAGAGTCTTCCAAAGAAGCAGGTGTACCCTTGCCTGGGCAGGAATCAGCTGACGAGGAGGAAGCTGAGGAAGAAGAGAGTAGCTCCCAGAAGGACTCCCAGAATGTCCTGGAAAAAGGCCAGGGGCCTCAGCAATTGGAAGGTAATGTTGGCATTAGGCTGTCAGCCTTGGTGGTGGGAAGGAATGGGTTGTAGAGAGCCTGGCATTGTGGCTCTGAGGTTTGAGTTGTCTGAACTTTGGTTCAGACTCATTTCTTTCCATTCTGCTTTGACATATCTTATGTTGTTGTTGTTATGTGCCGTTGAGTCGAACCCGACTCATAGCAACCCCTCCTTGGGTTTCGAAGGTGGTATCACTATGAAAGTAGATTGCCCAACCTTCTTTCCAAGGAATGGCTGGTGGGTTTGAACCACTAGCCCTCTGGTTAGCAGTCAAGTGCCTTAGGCACTATATGACATATCTCATAGGAAAATGGTAAATGGATATGCTTTAGTAAATAGGGATAAATAGAGTTTGCTCTCCTGGGCTGATTTTCCTAAGGCAGAAAGCTTTTTTTGTGGGAGGCCTGGCCAGGGGTTCCATAGTTTAAAGATGCCAGTAGTTACTGATTCAGCAGCCTTCTTGTCTGGCACTGAGCCCCCTCATTTGTGTTTCTGAATCCTTGTTTCCCATTTTTCCAAGATAGAACATTTGAAACCTATCCCACAGGGAGCATATTTAGTGTCAGATGAATAGGAAAGCACTGATTGTATTTATGACCAGTTTTCTTACCTAGAACCATAAGCCATTGTTAAGAAATAAAAATCCTCTACTTTCTCTCTTCTGCTCATGCCCTATGGGGCTGTTTTCCTTCCAGACAGCCCCGCTGGTTCTTCTTTTAACCCCTATGGCACAAGAGCCAGAGGAACAGGAATGCTCCATCTGGGGTCTGGGTGGTTCTTTTGAGCAACTCTAATCAAAGGTTCAGGAATCATGGGTGACTGAGTGAAGCAAATGAAACAGGCCACAACAAGGTCTCTGATTTTATTTATCTGAATTCTTGAATTTCTCATCTTAGCTCTTATTTGAGACCCCAATTTGAGACTCTGTTGTTTGGTTTCCTGGAGAGAAAGGAGGCAGGTAACACAGAGTTCATGTCAGGGAAAGTTGTGGTTCTCTCATTATTTGGCCAGTCCCTGGCCTATTGAGGAGTCTCACTCTGTACCCTCTCTGTTTCCCTGATTATTCCTTTGACCCCTGTGTCCTTTCTTCCCTCTTCCAGGTGAGGTGGCTTCTGGCACTGAGTCCCTCTTCAAGACCCATATGTGTCCAGAGTGCAAGCGCTGCTTTAAGAAGCGGACCCATCTGGTGGAGCACCTGCATCTCCATTTCCCGGACCCCAGCCTCCAGTGCCCCAACTGCCAGAAGTTCTTCACCAGTAAGAGCAAGCTCAAGACCCACCTGCTGCGGGAGCTGGGCGAGAAGGCCCACCGCTGCCCACTGTGCCACTACAGTGCCGTGGAAAGGAATGCACTCAACCGCCACATGGCCAGCATGCACGAGGACATATCCAACTTCTACTCAGACACATACGCCTGTCCTGTCTGCCGTGAGGAATTCCACCGCAGCCAGGCCCTCAAGGAGCACCTCAAGAGTCACACAGCAGCGGCTGCAGCAGAGCCACTGTCTCTTCACTGCTTTCAGGAGGGCTGCAGCTACACAGCACCTGACCGCAAGGCCTTCGTAAAGCACTTGAAAGAGGCCCACAGCGTGCGGGCTGTGGAGTGCCGCCATCATTCATGCCCCATGCTTTTTGCCACAGCCGAGGCCATGGAGGTCCACCACAAGAGCCATTATGCCTTCCACTGCCCCCACTGTGACTTCGCCTGCTCCAACAAGCACCTGTTCCGTAAGCACAAGAAGCAGGGCCACCCTGGCAGTGAAGAGCTGCACTGCACTTTCTGTCCCTTTGCCACCTTCAACCCAGTGGCCTACCAGGACCATGTGGGCAAGATGCATGCTCATGAGAAGATCCACCAGTGCCCTGAATGCAGTTTTGCCACTGCCCACAAGAGAGTGCTCATCCGACACATGCTGCTGCATACTGGTGAGATGGATGCATCCTTATAACATGGTGGGAATAGCAACAGTCATGATGGTAACGGCCAACATGAGACACCACATGAAGGCTTTGCACACGTTTTCTCACTTCACCTAGTATTCCTGGAGATAAGCCTGGTATTCCAGTTTTACAGATAAGCCTTAAATGGTGTGTCAGTCACATGCTAAGAGGTAGAACTAGGGTTTGAATCCAGGCAGTCTGATTACAGAGCCCGTGCTCTAACCATTGTGTTCTTGTGCCTAAACTTAAGTCCCTTCCCAGGTCTCTCCACCCCTAGTTGGGCTGGTTGATCCTAGCTGTTAGAGTGGACATGCCCAGACCAGAACAGATACCTTCATTTGCAGTTTTGGGATGTGCTGTGAGAAACAAGACAAGGAGATAGACCCATTTTTATAAGAATGGCCTTCTATTGCTTGAGTGTCCATGATTCTGAAACAGGGTCACCTCCAGTGACCTGGAAGTTATAGATATTGGAGCTAAGAGTTGGTTATCAGTGTTACTAATGCTTTGGGTCACAACCAAGTCAAGCTTCCTGCCATGGCGTCATTCCACTTGTGATCTCCATATAAGCATCTGTGGACTGGCAGGATATCAAAGATCTCAGCCAAAATTCTTTGGTTTGGGAGGAAAGTTTTTAGGCAGCTTAGGATAGAGCTATTGCAATGAGTGGTTTATTTCTAAATATGCTTTAGTCACCAAATCTGTTTCAGAGGCCTTTCCATAAACTTTACCTCTGTATAGGAGCTCTGGTGGCATAGTGCCTAAGGCATTTGACTGCTAACCAGAAGGCTGGTGGTTCAAGCCCACCAGCCACTCCTCAGAAGGAAAACTGGGCAATCTACTTCCATAGTAACACCACCTCAGAAACCAAGGAGGGGTTGCTATGAGTTGGATCCAACTCAACAGCATTGAGTTTGGTTTTACCTCTATATAGTATTTTACACTTTACAGAGCTCTTTCAGATGCATTATCCAATTTAATCCATAATAACAACCTTGGAAGGCAGACAAGTAAAGATGAGAAAAGAAACTCTGTGAAGTTAAATGACCTGTTCCTAGACTATACACCTAGTTGCACAGCCAGAGCCAGAAAGAACCATGCTGTTTGCCAGAGAAAAGGACAGGGAACAGCCTGGAAGGAACATGCCCTCAGCATCTTAGAGCCAGACCTTGACCTGCACGTTGATAGCTCATCCTTGGGTTCTCACTAAATACCACTGAGGACTTGGGACATTTCACCTTCACTGTGTGAGGCCAATATTTTGATTGCCCCCTTTTTGGTAACAAGAAACTGAGACTTAGAGGGGTTAAGTGACCTCTGGGTTAAGTAACCTGCCCAAAACCACAGGCTAGTAGCCTAGGATCTGACCCACCACTTAATAGCACTCTGTGCCTTGGTTTCCTCATCTGTAAAATGGGGGTAATAGTAATACTTGTCTCAGGGCTATTGTAAGAATTCATTGAGAGGAAACATTTTAATAAAATGCTCAGAAAAGCACCCACCTGGTGAGCCGTGTATAAATGTTGGCTGTAAATATTTTTGTGATTATATCAGACTCCAGAGTCCGAGTCCTTCGCCAGTATGTCCTCTTGCCTAATTTCTTCTTGTCTTCCAAAAAAATGGTAGGAATTGGGCCAAGTTGAGAAGTTGGCCATTTCTGCCAACAAGTTGTATAGCAAATCAAAGTGGACTTTAAGCTAGTTTTGAAAACCTCCATTTTACTTTCTTCCCACACTCCCTGGTATAGGAGTCAGGGGAGCAGCCTTGCAAATTGATGCTTTTAGCACCTTCGCCCCTGCTAGGCATCAGGGCAAGCTTTTTGCAAAGGTCGTCTGTCAGCTCATTCAGTCTGTGTCTGACCTGTGTTCTCTCCTCTCATCCCACCCCACCCCCCTCGTAAGGTGAGAAACCTCACAAGTGTGAGCTGTGTGACTTCACATGCCGAGATGTGAGCTACCTGTCCAAGCACATGCTGACCCACTCCAACACCAAGGATTACATGTGCACCGAATGTGGCTACGTCACCAAATGGAAGCACTACCTCAGTGTACACATGCGAAAACACGCAGGGGACCTCAGGTATGAGCACACACACTTCCCCACCCCATCCCAAGAACTTTGTACCAAACTAGGCTCCTCTTGGTTCCAGCCCCTGGCCCCACTGTTCTTGTTAGTCCCGGAGAGACTCCTAAAAACCCTTGGTCTGTACCCATCAGTGTCTGTAGCTGGCCTGTGTGCCAGTGGCCCCGTCTATGTAGTGATAGCTCTCTGGGCTCAGGGAAGGGAGTATCGGCCTAGAGACTAAGGTGTCACTTGAGTTCTTAGAGTCTAGTCCTGGGAAAATGATGCTTTCCAAATCCAGGCCAGTTTCCTTCTGACCTGTGAACACAGCTGGCTTAGGGGCTTCTCCAGAGTGTTGGTACCTTCATAGGAAAATGGGAGCAAGGCACAGAACTGCCCTGCATGGCTCTAGCAGTGTCAGCTCCTTAGAAGTCTGTAGTTCGTGATTACATTCCTTTAGGAGACAACCTAGAGTGGGGGCTAAAACACAGGCCCTGGAGCTAGGGTTCAAATACTGCCTCTGCCCCTCACTTCTTTTGTAATCTTAAAAATAAAACCAAACCCATTGCCATCAAGTCAGTTCTGACTGATGGCATCCCCACTGGGTTTCTAAGACTGTAAATATTTACAGAAGTAGATTGCCTCATCTTTCTCCCAGGAGTACTTGGTGGGTTTGAACAGCTGACCTTCTGGTTAGCAACCAAATACCATACCCACTATGCCACCAGAGCGCCTTGTGATCTTAGGCAAGTTATTAATTTCTCTGTGTCTTTGTTTTCTCATTTGTAAAATGGAGGTATTTGTTTCATGGGCCAGTGGAAAGGAGGATCAAGTTAGATGGTACATGTAGATGGTAGAGCCTGGCCCAGAGGAAGTACTATTTGTGACTGTTAGTTGTTATGACTGGTTTATAATGATTGCCCCTCTTCCCTCCTTGTCAGATACCAGTGCAACCAGTGCTCCTATCGCTGCCACCGGGCTGACCAGCTGAGCAGCCACAAGCTGCGGCACCAGGGCAAGTCCCTGATGTGTGAGGTGTGTGCCTTCGCCTGCAAGCGGAAGTATGAGCTGCAGAAGCACATGGCTTCCCAGCACCGCCCTGGCACACCAGCTCCTCTCTACCCCTGCCGCTACTGCAGCTACCAAAGCCGCCACAAGCAGGCCCTGCTGAGCCATGAGAACTGCAAACACACCCGCCTCCGTGAGTTCCGCTGTGCCCTCTGTGACTACCGCACCTTCAGCAACACCACCCTTTTCTTCCACAAGCGCAAAGCCCATGGCTACGTACCTGGGGACCAGGTCTGGCAGCTCCGCTATGCTAGCCAGGAGCCAGGGGGCTCTAGGCAGTGTCCAACACCCCCATCAGACACAGAGCCCTCAAACCAGCTGTCTTCCCAGCCTGAGAGTCTGAGCACTGACCCTGGGACTGTCGTGGAGCCCAGTTTGGGCCAGGCCATGCCAGAGACAAGTGAGGAGGATGGTGCTGGGAGACAGGATGGCGCTGAGGCTCCTCAGGGGGATGACCTCGTTGGCAGTCCCCGCCCAGCAGAGGTGGATGAGGGTGGCTGCACTCTACACCTAGAGGCCCTGAGAGTAGAGCTGGAACCCGTGGCCGAGCCACCCCTTGAGGAGATCACTGAGACAGCCCCAGTGGAGTTCAGGACCCTGGATACCTCAGGGTCCTTGGGACTGGAAGGGCCAGATGGAACTTTGACAGAGCTATCCAGCTTTGAAGGCGTTGGGCCTTCTGGCTTGGGTGCTAATGAAGAGCCCATTCTGGAGAAGCCAGTCCCTGAGCCTCCCAGAGAGCCCCCATTCTCAGAGGAGCCCCCTAACAGCTGGGTGGGAACCTTCAAGACAACTCCATCTGCTGAGACAGCACCCTTGCCCCAGTTTCCTGAGTCAGAGTCATTACTCAAGGCCCTAAGGAGGCAGGACAAAGAGCAGGCTGAGGCACTGGTGCTGGAGGGACGAGTGCAGATGGTAGTGATCCAAGGAGAGGGCCGGGCCTTCCGCTGCCCACACTGCCCTTTTATCACCCGCCGGGAGAAGGCCCTGAGTCTGCACTCCAGGACCGGGTGCCAGGGCCGCCGAGAGCCCCTGCTGTGCCCTGAGTGTGGGGCCAGCTTCAAGCAACAGCGGGGCCTCAGCACCCACTTGCTGAAGAAGTGCCCTGTTCTCAGAAAGAACAAGAGCTTGCCCAGATCAGAGTCACCCAGCCCTGTGCCCACCGGCACCCTGGCCTCAGAGGATGCAAACACTGGGAGGCCCCCACTAGAACCATTAGAAATAGAGCTAGTGTTTCCAAAAGCTACCCCTTCTGAGCTGCCCAGTGAGCCAAAAAACCTAGAGGAACCTCTTATCACACCCTCTGGCTCCCCAGTCCCTCCTGCAGGGAACCCCATACCTACAGGGACCCCTGAGAAGTTCTGCTTTGAGCAGGGCAAGTTTCACTGCAACTCGTGCACATTCCTTTGTTCTCGGCTATCCTCCATTACCTCTCATGTGGCTGAAGGCTGCCGGGGGGCACGTGGTAGGGGAGGGAAGCAAGGGGTCCCCCAGGCCCAGCCTGTTGTGTCCTCTGTGAACAGTGGGGACTCTGCTCCCCTGAGCAATGGGAGCACAGTGTTCAGCCCTGGTGGTGGTGACCTAGCTCTGGTTCCAAGACAGAAAGGGGCTCGCTTCTCCTGCCCTACGTGCCCCTTTAGCTGCCAGCAGGAACGTGCTTTGAGGACTCATCAGGCCCGGGGCTGTCCCCTTGAGGAGTCTGGAGAGCTACACTGTGGCCTCTGCCCATTCACCACTCCTGCTGCTGCCGCCTTGAGGCTCCACCAAAAGAGGCGGCACCCCACTGTGTGCCCAGCCCGTGGCCCCCGGCCACCCCTGCAGTGTGAGGACTGCAACTTCACCTGTAAGCAAAGCCGATGTCTACAGCAGCACCGGCGGCTCAAGCATGAAGGGGTGAAGCCACATCAGTGCCCTTTCTGCGACTTTTCTACCACCAGGAGGTACCGACTGGAGGCCCACCAGTCCCGGCACACGGGTGTGGGCCGCATCCCCTGCAGCTCCTGCCCTCAGACATTTGGTACCAACTCGAAGCTGCGCTTGCACCGCCTAAGGGTACATGACAAAACACCCACCCACTTCTGTCCACTGTGTGACTATAGTGGCTACCTCCGCCATGACATCACACGCCACGTCAACAGCTGCCACCAAGGCACTCCAGCCTTTGCCTGCCCCCAGTGTGAGGCCCAGTTCAGCTCAGAGACGGCACTCAAGCAGCATGCTCTGCGCCGGCACCCTGAGCCAGCACCCCCAGCCCCTGGCTCTCCTGCAGAGGCTACCCAGGGCCCCCTGCACTGCTCCCGCTGTGGGCTGCTGTGTCCCAGCCCTGCCAGCCTGCGAGGACACACCCGTAAGCAGCACCCACGGCTGGAATGTGCGGCCTGTCGGGAGGCCTTCCCTAGTCGGCCAGCACTGGATGAGCATCGGAGGCAGCGGCACTTCAGCCACCGCTGTCAGCTCTGTGACTTTGCAGCCCGGGAGCAGGTGGGCCTGGTGAAGCACTACCTGGAGCAGCACGAGGAGACTTCAGCAGCAGCCTCCGATGTGGACAGGGGTGCTAGCCAGCCTCCTCTGCGCTGCCCCTTTTGTGACTTTGCATGCCGCCATCAGCTGGTGTTAGATCACCACGTGAAGGGCCATGGGGGGACTCGGCTCTACAAGTGTACTGACTGTGCGTACAGCACCAAGAACCGGCAAAAGATCACCTGGCACAGCCGCATCCACACTGGGGAAAAGCCCTACCGCTGTCACCTCTGCCCCTATGCTTGTGCCGACCCCTCTCGCCTCAAGGTAAGGTCAGGGGCCGTATGGCCAGGGAGGGTAAGGAGTGCTGGCTCTGGAGCTCACCTATCTGGGTTCTCTAATCCCAGCTGTTCCACCATGAGCTCTGTGACCCTAGACAAATTCCTTAACTTCTCCAAGCCTCAGATTCCTCATTTGTAAAAAAGGAATAATACTTAACCAACTTGATAGGGTTGTTATAAGGATAAAATCCCATGATAGGTACTTGACAGGTGATGAGGCGTGTGATAGGTTGGGGGTCATCTGGTTAATAGCTAACATTGACTGAGCGCTTATTATATGCCAGGCACTGCACTTTTAATCCTTTTAAAAATACAAGAGACAGATATTTTTACTATTCCTTATTTTACAGATTAGTAAACCGAGAATTAGGGGTTAGGTTAGCCAATGACACAGCTGGTAAATGATAGAGCCGAGATTCCACCTCAGGCCAGGGCAGACCTAGAAGGAGACCAACTAAGTCAGGTTGGTGTCAAACAACCAGACTGGGAGACCTGCTAATGGGAGTATGCATAGCGTGGGAGCAGGGAACAAGGTTATCTGCCAAGAGCTTCCTGCCTGCTGGTCCTTACTCCCACTCCAGGAAGTACCCAGGGGTGTACATTATCTGGGCGTATTCTGTGTTTCTGCCCTCCTTCAGTACCATATGCGGATCCACAAGGAAGAAAGGAAGTACCTGTGCCCTGAGTGTGGCTATAAGTGCAAGTGGGTCAATCAGCTCAAATACCACATGACTAAGCACACAGGTGAGTCTCCATGGTTTTGACAGCCCCAAGGGGTTTTTCCACCCTTGGTATACCCAGCCACCCTGAAGTGATGTCCTTGCTCAGATTCAGTGCCCACATTGATTTCATGTTGAGGCTGGACAGTGGGCAGGGGAATCTGTACCAGAATGGCTCCCCACCCCACTGAAGACCTTTCAGAAGAGGGGTGAACCTGAGACCCTGGGCATGTGTACTGGATGGAGTCACCCGCCCCCAGTTGAGAACCCCCAACTCAAACATGAGTGATGGAGGGCAGGTCTACTTGGTTCCTACGTGGACATCATGGAGTAAAGAGAAAACATAGGGTTCTCCTGTTATGTCTCTTCCTTTTCTTCTGAGTATGGAGTCAGTATGTGTCCGCAGAGAAGGGTTAATGATCGTGTGCCTGTGATCTTTGCATATGGTCCCTCATGTGGAGGAATTGACCAGATACATTTCAAGGTCCTCTGTTTCTATGAATGCCACTTCTCTTACCTCTAGCCCTCCCCTAGTAAACATTTTATCTTACTTCTTGAGTTGAACAAGGAGTTGTTTTTAAATGGATTCCCAAACACCATGTGTACCCTATGACCAAAAGGGAGCTGGAATTTCCCATTTGGAAACCCTATCATATTTAAGTACTCATTGCTATCAAGTGGCTACTTAGGGGTCATCGGCACCCATTGAACACCCAGTGTTTAAAAGGGGCTATGTTGGGGAAGGACATGTAAGTGTCAGGTAGAACTGGAACATTCCAAAGGTGTGGTCATTAATCAGCCTGTTGTCTGTGTCTTTATGTCTCAGCATGACTATGACCCAATGGTCCTCTGAGCCTCATTCACTCCCCTTCATTGGTGATGTGAGGATACTCTGCCACTAAGCCTCCTCCTGTCTCTGCCCTGTCCTACAGGACTAAAGCCATACCAGTGTCCCGAGTGTGAGTACTGCACCAACCGGGCTGATGCACTGCGTGTGCACCGGGAGACACGGCATCGAGAAGCCCGGGCCTTCATGTGTGAACAGTGTGGCAAGGCCTTCAAGACGCGCTTCCTGCTGCGCACCCACCTCCGCAAGCATAGCGAGGCCAAACCCTATGTGTGCAATGTGTGCCACCGTGCTTTCCGCTGGGCTGCTGGCCTGCGCCACCACGCCCTCACCCACACCGACCGTCACCCCTTTTTCTGCCGCCTCTGTAGCTACAAGGCCAAGCAGAAATTCCAGGTGGTCAAGCACGTCCGCAGGCACCACCCCGACCAGGCTGACCCAAACCAGGGTGTGGGCAAAGACCCCACCACCCCCACAGTGCACCTGCATGACGTGCAGCTGGGGGACCCTGGCCCTCCTGCTCCTGCTGCTCCATCCACTGGACCTGAGGGCTGAGCGTCTGCCTACCCACCTTCCAGACAGGAAGAGGATGTGGTCTGAGGTGTGCAAACTGGAACCAGAGCTGGTCTGTGGAGCTTAGGGCCTAAGGAAGGGCTGGCTTTGGGGTGTCAGAGAGGCTGGAACCCTCCTGGGACTCTGGCTCTGGTACTTTGGAAGTGACATCTGTATAAAAGAGAGACGTAGACTATAACATTGATTTCCTGTTGAGGCGCTCTATGTTTAACTCTTGAGTTCTTTATTTCTTCCCCATCATGCCACTAAAGTTCCTGGCTATAAGAGCTAGGTTTTACCCTCTCTCCTCTTTCTTTCTTACAGTGTCACATTCTGTTTTTGTTCAACATCCTCAAAACACTTGTATCTAACCGCATGTGCTGTTGTGCCTAATGCTCTATAAAGCATGTTAAACAGAATGATCACTAGCTTTTAGATGCGTCCAAATTTCTGTCTTAACATTTCTAGGCTGTCATCTCAATCTGCCCTGTTGCCTCTCAGACCCCTGCCTCCCTTTGTCTCCTTCCATCTTCACTTGGTGATTGATTCTGAAACAGGCTCAGAAAGGGTTCCCTTCTCTCTGTCCTTGAGCCTGTTGTGGCCTTGGCCCTGCTATCTACTTCTGAACCTTTTGTCTGTATGTCAAAGGGAGGACTACTATCCAGTAAGTCTCCTCCAGGTACCAGCTGTAGTTCACCATCAACCTTCAGCAGCTGCAGTAAGGAGTTAAGACGCAAAGAAAGTGTGAAAGACAGGTGATCAGAGAAGTAAATCTCTAATCCAGAACTCTGTAAGTGCTTCACAATGACAATATAATTAGTCATCTAAACTGGGACCCGTTCCATTCCCCATTGCCCTAGAATTCGATTCCAACTCTTAGCGATTCTATAGGACAGAGCAGAACTGCCCCCATAGGGTTTCCAAGGCTGTAATTTTTTTATATTTATTTATTTATTTATTTAGGAGCTCTGGTGGCATAGTGCCTAAGGCACTTGACTGCTAACCAGAAGGCTGGCGGTTCAAACCTACTAGCCACTCCTCGGAAGGAAGATGGGGCAATCTACTTCTGTAGTGATACTGCCTCAGAAACCCAAGGAGGGGTCACTATGAGTCGGGTTCGACTCGACAGTACATAACAACAATAACAACATACATATTTATTTATTTATATTGTAATTTGGGTGAAAGTTTACAGAGCAAATTTACTTTCCATGCAACAGTTCACATACACTTTGTCTCATGACATTGACTACAATTTACCCCAATGCAACAGCTCCCCTCCCACTTCCTCCCAATAGTTACCTCTTCCCTGGGTCCATCCCTCCATGCACTCCTGCCCCCTGAGCTGTCTCCCTGTGCATAAACAGCCCTTCTTTCTCCCATAATTGATGTCTCCAAGGAGTGTATCTACCTCAGGTAAATATTCAGTTCATATGCCTATCTTTTGTTTGACTGGAAGCCACAGGTGTGGGTTCAATTCCAGACCTGAAGGGCAGCTAGGGGCCATAGTCTCAGGGATTCCAGCAGCCAAGGCTGTAATTTTTATGGAAGCAGATTGCCACATCTTTCTCTTGCAGAGCAGCTAGTGAATTCAAACCACCAACCTTCCTGTGCCACCAGGGCAGAACTGGGACACTTGGGAAAACTAAAGAAGATGCTATTATGGCTGAGGCAACAGACATAACCCAGGACTGTCCTGGGCAAACTACAAGATGGCAAGAGGCCACATAACCCTTTGTCTCCTCCTTTTGCCCTGTTCCTTAGAAGCCTTACTTCTATGTCCTTCCTATGTAGTGCATGCAGGGTGGGGGGACCCTGGGAACCTCTTGCTTTTCTCCCTTTCCTGGCCCCACTTGTCTCTATCCAGATGTCCTACAACCCTCATACTTCCCCTTCTTGCCCAACAATAAGACCATACCCAAGCCAAATTGAAGGAAGAAGCTCTGTTTATATAGGTTGGGCTAGGGAAGAGCAAGCCAGAGGGAACTCTGAGGGTCGTGCACTGTTCTCTTGACAGTCATCATGTAGCCTTGTGGTCAGGTCTTCCCCAGCCTTTAGGGAGCCTTGAGCCATGCTCCATCCTATTTTTTAGCTCTGGGCTTTGAGGAAGTTGGAGGTTGAAGTAAAAACCTCTAGGTTTCTCAGCCCCATGCCCTCTCTGGATTTCTGTTGCACTCTGCTTTTGAACCAGGGTTCATGGGAAGGATTAGAAGTAGAACTGGGTAAGGGTTTGAGCTACACCAAGAGGAAGGAGGGAACTCCAGTATAGAGTACAGAAGAGAAAGGGCAGGAAAGATTCCATAGGCTGAGAAAAGGAAAGAAAATAGGCATTAAACCAGGCCCTAGGTTTGCTTGTGAGAGGTAATTTTGAGGTTAGGAATGATGCATAAGTCAAAGCTTGGTTTTTACCAGCTGAGCATCCTACCACCTGTTCCTCACCATATAAAGCCAGTGCACCACCCTCCACATGAAGTGCCCATTTCAGGCTTCAGCCCCCTCTGGCTCTTCCTGGATGGAGATGTGCACAAAGATGGAAGCTGGGTGGAGGCTGGTACCATCCCTGGAGAGCAGGTGTATGTGGCGGTAACCTGGAAAGGGGCAGGACAGCAGCATTAGGAAGGTCACCAGAGTTGGGGTATTGGCCGGGAACCAAAGAGCTGGCTCACCTTGTTGCATGCAGGTCCAAGGTAGGGTGTACTGCCCAACAAAGTCATTTCGGGATTTCCAATCATAATCCTCTACCACAAAACGCAGCAGGGCAAGTTCAGGCACCAGGACCCGGAAGCATAATGTCTGCCCCCAGTATGGATTAAAACCTGAGGTAGTGAGTAGGAGGGAAAGAAGGAAGAGACATCATTAGCTCTCTTTAGGATTGCACTATACTCGGTTGCTTTCCCTGGTTCTCTCATTTAATCTTAATAGCACTTGACATCTTACAGGTGAGGAAATAAGTTCAGAGTGGTTATGCAGTCTGCCCAGGTCACCAGAGCTTATAAGTGAGGGGCCAGGATTCAGATCCAAGATGCCCAAGCCCTTATTCTTATTACGGTTCCATGTGGCCCCCCATGGAGAGAGTGGTGATTTGGACTATATTTACTGGAGAGCAGGATGGAGAGCTCTGGTGGTGTAGTGCCTAAGGCATTTGACTGCTAACCAGAAGGCTGGCGGTTCAGACCCACCAGCCACTCCTTGGAAGGAAGATTGGGCAACCTACTTCGTAAAGATACCGCCTTGGAAACCCAAGGAGGAGTCACTATGAGTCGGAACAGACTCATTGGCAGTGAGTTTGGTTTGGTTTTTTTTTTTTTTTTTTGAGGATTGAAGGAAAACACTGTTCATGCTCCCACTTCCTCCCCTAGTACTGCCCAGTCTCTCACCATTGTTCTCCACGTAGCTGGTCTCCTGTCGGGCTGTGTCTGGGCGGACGCCAAAGATTTCCACTTTCACCAGTGGATCCACAATGGACCCTTCCTTGATGTTGTCCACTTTGGGGAGTTGCTGACCACTGATCACCTGCAACCAGGGCTGTGGAACCTCACTAGTTCCTGCTCAGCCCAGCCTTTGCTCCACCTCTCATAGCTCAGGGGAGGGGAAGCGGAAGGTACCCGGGACCTGGTGCTATAGTGTTTGGGTTTACAAGGCTGTTCCTCCATGGCTAATTCTAGTATTCTGTCTGCAATTTAAAATACATCCAAGGAGCAATTTAACAAAGTTTGAAATGATAATGATAGCAACCCCTTATGTACCATTTAATGTGTACCAGGCATTGTTGTACATCTTATGTATATTAGTAACTAAGTTAAGAGCTCTGGTAGCGTAGTACCTAAGGCACTTGACTGCTAACCAAAAGGCTGGTGGTTCAAACCCACCAGCCACTCCTCAGAAGGAAGGTCGGGCAATCTACTTCCGTAGTGATACCGCCTCGGTAACCCAAGGAGGGGTCGCTATGAGTTGGGTCCGACTCGACGGCACATAACAACAACAAGTAATCCTTACAACAACCCTGTGAGATAGGTACTATTGTTACCCTCAGTTTGCAGGTGAGGGGATTGAGGTATGGAGAGGTTAAGTAACTTGCCCAATATTGCACAACTAGTAAGTGAGTTTAGACCTAGGCAGTATGGTTCTAAAGTCCGTGCTCTTAACAACCATGCTATCCTGCTTCTCATGAAAAACTTTTCACCTGTTACACTCCTGTCAGGCCTAGCCACCTCTTCCCCCACTGCCATCCGTTTCTCTTTCCATCGTACCTGGATTAGGAGGGTCTGGGTCTTGAAAGGACTGATGGGTCTCTCAGGGTGGAAGGAACTCTGGGTGTCACGTAGGAAGTCTGGCTTCAAGACATAGCCACAGCCACCATTCTGGCGGAAGAACCCGTCACAGACGTCCATCTCCAGCCCTGCAGTCTGCACATTCATAGCCACTGAGGGACCCAGGAGAAAAGAGGAAGGGTTCACCTTAGGAGCCTCCCAGAACCTCTTTTGGGAAGTTAAGAACACAGGTATTGGCTGGAAGAGTGCCTGCTGGGAACACCTCCATAAATGGCATCTTTTTCAACCTAGCACTCTTCTTGGAGGAATCCCTTGCCCAGTTGCCACCAGAGAGCTTCCTTCCCACCTACTGCTCCTGTTTTCTCCTCCCAGTCCCAGCTTGCCCCTCACCCATCTGGCAGCCTGCATTCCAGAGTTCCTGGGGGTTATAGTTGGAAGAGTCTGTCCTCAGGCCACTGGGATACACTCGGCTTAGCTGCCAGGTGTTGTGCTGCACAAACTCATTACCTGTAAGTGGGATGTGGGGATGGAGAGAGAGAGAGAAGTAAGGCTGACTTCCCTGGGCCCTGCCCACTCACTTCTCTCTTCTCCCCATCATCTGAGGCTGGCTCCAGAGAGCTTCAAGGTGCCTCTCCTACTCTGTTCCATGCAAGCTTTCTTTTACCTAGAGCCACCATTCATAACCTTCCCCTGCCTGCCCTGGAGAGTATCTTAGTTCCTCCATCTCTCCTTAGCTCTCTGTCCTCTTCCTTTGGATTCATCTGCCTGCCCTACATACATGCACACACATACAACCTATCAGTGGCCCTTAAAACTGGCCCTTAAGGAGACTGAAAGTTGAACAAAGATGTCTCAGGAGTCACCTGGGGGATCCAGGAGTAAGCCAAATGGGTGCTTCAACTAAGATGGGTCTGCATTGATCTATTTTGTAGACTGTTTCCAAATAAATTCCAGTTCCCTCCCTGACCCATCCCAGTTCCCTCCCCACCCCTTATCTTTTGGTCCTGACCAGCCTCCTTGATGAGGCTCTTGGCCTTGGTTTCAGAGAAGGATGATGTCTCATAGAAGCGATAGTGCTCCCTTGAATGAGTGAAGTTATGGAACGGGACACTCTTCAAGTAGACAACTAAGGCAGAGAGAGACGGACACAACATGGGCTTGGATTTCTGGAGAAGGAGAAAGTGGAGAGGAAGATGAGCCCTCAGCAATCTGAGAGGGAGGAAGGCAATGGCCAAGACTCAACTTCCCCACCCATCCTAAGCTTCTGCCCTCTGCCTCCCCAATGCATTCTTTCTCTTGCCTCACCTGCTTGGTCAAGAGAAGGGACCAACGCTTGGAGATAGGAGCCTGGGCTATAGTCTGACAAGTAGGAGGACAAAACGGCACATCACAACATGGGGGTGGGAATGGAAATAAATGCAGTCTGCCTGTGCTGATGGCATCAACTGCAGCCTCTGTGCTTGGAGGGTTTGCTCTGTGTTAGATCCTGGGTAACAGAGTTTTAATTTATTATTATTATTTTAAACAGAAAGGAGTCATCCTTTCTTCTTTTAAAACAAATTAGCAATCTTTGGTCAAAATGTACATTAATTCAGACAGATAAGTCAGGTATACAAATGGTCATGGATGTCATATTCTGGAAGGACGTGAGGGTTCCAGAGTAGTATCTTTGGGCTTGTCTCCTGAATTCCCATTTCCACTCCTGGACATGACAACATGTTAGACACCACAGCACCAGAGAACAGGATAAGCTAAAAGTCCACCAGATGAGCCAAGCAAGTGCACAAGAGAGAGAAATACCTCAAACCTAGATTTTGGAGGTTCCACTAGTGGCACCCCTCCATGCTCTGCTTCTCTTCCCCACAAGGAGATGGCCCACTCTGCACCACTTTCTCAGAGCCTTCATCTTCCCCCACCTCAAAGCTCCTCTTTGGCTATTTCTAGTCTCTTCTCAAACTCACCCTTTCCAAGCTTTCTCTAACTTAGCTCTCCTCAGTTGAGGTCACAGCAAGCACTCCAGCAGCCCCTACTTACCCGGACGATATAATGTTATACACGTACATGCACACACACACAACCTATCAGTGGCCCTTAAAACTGGCCCTTAAGGAGACTGAAAGTTGAACAAAGATGTCTCAGGAGTCACCTGGGGGATCCAGGAGAAAGCCAATGGGTGCTTCAACTAAGATGGGTCTGCATTGATCTATTCTGTAGACTGAGTCTCCAAATAAATTCCATTTTAAAGAGGGATTTCATGGCTTAAGAAAGTTGGGAAGCCACTGCACTGTATCTACACACAGCACTACATAGTATATAGTGTGGCTATGGCTGCATTCTTACACCTCTTCCATTGGGAAGAGAGGGCATTTTGCTCTTTGGTCCATTATCTGCCTGGCTGTAGTCTCTTCACCTATGAACCCTCAGCTTGTGGTGCAGATGGGCCAAATGCCAGGGCAGACCAAGACCACTCCTAGCTCACCTTCTTTTTGTCTTTGCTCCGAGGGCTCAACTCCTGGGGCTCAGGCTCAGGTTCTGACTGGGCTTCCAGCTCCAGCCCCAACTCAGGCTCCTCCTCCTCTTCCTCAAGATCCTCTTCAAGTGTCCTTGACTTCTTTCCCTTCAGCAGAATCTTCCTTTGAAGCTCCTTGGGGTAAAAATAAAGGGGTCTGTCTACCTGTCTGCTCTGGGACCCTCCTGGGGATCACTCAGACCCCAATTGCTCTCATGGGGCAACCTCAAAGGCAGAGGAAGTAAGTGATGGTCAGAAATTCCCACAGGAAAATTGGCTACTTGATCCATACAGTAGGGCTTCACCTATTGTGAAACACACTGGAACATTTCTATCCATATGGAAAAAAATAAAAGAAGACCCCTATCTCACATTTGATACATAAAAGTCTCTCAGATTAAAGATTTACATGTGAAAAATAACATAAAAGTACTAGAAGAAAATAGAGAATCTTTATAAGTAATCTTAAGGAGCTCTAGTGGAGTAGTGGTTAGCACATTCAGCTGCTAAGCAGAAGGTGGGCAGTTCAAATCCACCAGCTACTCCAAAGGAGAAAGATGAGGCAGTCTGCTTTTGTAAGATTTACAGCCTTGAAAACCCTGGGGGCAGATCTACTCTGTCCTATAGAGTTGCTATGAGCTGGAATCAACTCGATGGCAGTGGATTTTTTTTTTCCTCATGTTAGGAAAGCCTTTACAAATATGGCATGAAAACCCACAATACATAAAAGGAAAAATTGACAGATTTGACTATGTAAAGTTTAAAAACTTCTGTAAGGCAGTTGTTGTTGTTGTTATGTGCCGTCGAGTCGGGCCCGACTCATAGCGACCCCTCCTTGGGTTTCCAAGGTAGTATCACTACGGAAGTAGATTGCCCCATCTTCCTTCCAAGGAGTGGCTAGTGGGTTTGAACCACCAGCCTTCTGATTAGCTGTCAAGTGCCTTAGGCACTATGCTACCAGAGCTCCTTTCTGTAAGGCAGAGGATGCTACAATAAAAAAAAAAAAAATAGACTACAAAAAAAATTTCCCAAAGAATTAATATATTTTACATTTAAAGAATTGTTACATATCAATAAAAATAATACACCCTAATATAAATCAATAAATAATATTCACTCTGGTAGCATAATGCCTAAGGCACTTGAATGCTAACCAGAAGGCTGGCAGTTCAAACCCACCAGCACTCCTCGGAAGGAAGGCTGGGCAATCTACTTCCATAGTAATACCACCTCAGAAACCCAAGGAGGGGTCGCTGTGAGTCGGGTCCGACTCGATAGCACATAACAACAACAACAACATTGGGTTTCTGAGGCAGTATCACCACAGAAGTAGATTGCCCCATCTTCCTTCCAAGGAGTGGCTGGTGGGGCACTCTGGTAGCGTAATGCCTAAGGCACTTGAGTGCTAACCAGAAGGCTACAACAAGAATAGTCACAAATAATTCAAAAGAAAACAAACATGGATTCTGGTGGGGGGAAAAAATGAACTTTTTCATGTTTGCCATTACGAAACTTTTCCCTCCTGGAGTTACTTGCAGGCACCCTCTCACATTGATGGTTGGAGCATAATTTGGTATGTTTTCCAGAGGGCAACTTGGCAATTACAAGCAAAATTGTCAGCATGCAGACTCTTCAACTCAGCAATTTTGCTTCCAGGAATCTACCTCAAAGATAATAGAATAAATGGGCAAAGTTTGCTCCTTGGCCCATTATTTGCCTGGCTGCAGTCTCTACAGTGAAAAATGATAAACAACCTCAATAAGGGGAACTGGTTCAATAAATTCGGGTCCATAACATGGCATGGAATACTATGGCACTGTTAGAAAGTATATCCATGAAAAGACATCCATGACATTTCTTATATGTGAAATACATAAAAAGAATACAGAACATGATCACATTCATGTTTTTTTATGTGAATATATAAACGTGTACAAAGCAAGCATTTTAAAAAATCTGTTGACAGCTGTTATTATGGGAGAGTTTGGGATTATGGGGGATGGTGAATTTCCCTTTCTCTATATTATTTGAATATTCTACAATAATCATGAACTATCAGGAAAAAAGTACTTATTTCCACTGGAAAAATACATATTTACATATAAAGTAAATCATTGATTTAAAATTTAGAGAATTATAAATGGAATTCTGTGTTCAATTAGATTTTCTTTTTTAATTTATTCAAGTTGTCTCTGAGGGTACTAAGAGGGCAAGATGGTCCATCTGAGAGAGAAAGGAGCAAGAGGATATGCAAGTCACAGTAGAGCCTGGGCTGGGGGAGCAGTGTGCCTACCTCAGGTGAGGGCAGCTGGGTGGGCAGCAGCCCATCCAAGGTGGTGCTCAATAGCTGTTCCCCCAGGATCTCTGTCAAATGGTGTGCCATGATCTCCTGTTGCTCCAAGCTGCAGTGGTTCTCCAGGGACAAGATAACTGGGTAGTCTGATGTCTAGTGGTGAGAGGAAGGGTTACTGGATACAGTGTTCTAAAGTCCTGTAACCTCCTGCCTTCTCCAAACACCTGCTTACTCACTCTACTGAGAATCTTGGTGTCTCAGTTGCTTCAATCCCATTAGAGGGCTCAAGGAGGGCTTGCTTATGTCAGGGACCCACCCTTGGAACATGACCCACATCTAAAGATCACTCTTGAGACCTCAAATCTCATGCTTGGTCCAGGTCTAATCCAGGTTTCTCCAGGCCTGTGAGTTTTCAGACTTAGCGAGAGTGGGAAGGCTAGGCCATTCCCCTGATTATGTGTTCATGTTACATACTTAGGCTCTCATCTCCAGATTCCTACTGTACCCCAGAACTACCCACCACTTTCTCTGTCCTAATCCACTCTCTCCCTTGCTGTTAGAAGTAGTAGTTACTAAGCACTAGTAATTACCTCTATGACCATTACTTACGAGTAACACATTCAACATTTATTCATAATAATACCTAATATCAGCCTGGTACTTTACAATTAAAATCTCTTTTACTTACTCTGTGCCATTTGACATATCCCCTGCCCTCCCCGAGCTTAGATCCTCTGCCCTCCCCAAGCTTAAATCCTCTGCCCTCCCCAAGCTTAGATCCTCTGCCCTCCCCAAGCTTAGACCTTCTTACCTCACCAATATTCCCATCCTGGTCTCCTACCTGAAAGGCATACTGAGCTACTGTGGCCACAACATCTTGAAACAGGATACGAGAGGTCAGAGTATGTCCATGGTAAACAATTGGTTCCCCACTAGGTCCATCCCAGACATCCACCTCCACACAGCGGCAACCCCGCTTCAGGGCCCTGCAAGAACCCAGCCCGCAGGCCAGCAAGGGTCAAGGTCTGATCTTCCACCTAGAGACCATCACCCCACTCTGGAGAGAGCAATGTTCACCAGCACTTAACCCTTGAGACCCTTTCAAGCTATTTCTCTATGGAAGCTTCTCTGTCTACTGAGACACAGCTGCAGCTCACACAGATTACACCCCTTCCCCACTCTAACTCACGGTTTTCCTTACAACCCATCACACCTTGTTTCATGATACTTCTGGTGTTTGGTTGTGTATTTTTATACAATTCTGGGTTATTCAAACTCCTAGTGAGGTTAAGTTTTATTTCCTCAACTAGACATTACTCTTCCTAGGGCAGAAACTGTTTCATTCATATTTGTATCTCATGAATCTAATACTTCAGGTGCTGGTACTACACAGATATCTTGACTATTCAATCTAATCCATAATTAATCAGAACTAAAGCAGCTACTACTTATTGTCAGGTACCTAAGTGGCACGGTTTACACTAGATTACTAACCTAAAGGTGGTGGCTTGAACCCAGTCAGTGGGACCAGGAAAGAAAGGCCTGGTGATCTGTTTCCTTTAAGATTATATCCAAGCAAACCCTATGGAGCAGTTCTACTTTGTAACACATGGCATTGCCATGAGTCACAATTCATGTCATGATTCAACACAATGGATTACACTACTTATTGAGTGTTGACACATGGATTATCTCATTTTATCCTTACAACAACCCAGACAGAATAGGCACTGTTATCATCCCTGTATCATAGATAAAGGAAACTGAGACATAGAGAGGTTAAATACTTAGAGCACTAAGTGAGGGAGCTAGCATTCAAACTCAGATGGTCCGATTCAGGAATCCATGTTCTTACTTTCAATGCTCCACTCTCTTCCATTTACTTGAATAAATGTGTCAGGACCCCTGCGTTCCAAGCGAGTTTCATAGTTTGTGAAAGAGAAGCTCTGTTCACCCACTGGGTTTCATTACTACTTCTCTCTCCAGTCTCCAGTATCTCCTCCAGATATCCAGGGACCCCCATCCCTTAAGGTTTTCTCAATCCCTGTTACCCAGTAACACTATTCCTTCATCCTCCCACCCCACAGTTTTCCACAGGTGGTCCATCTCATGAGCTGAACCTTCCCTCCCCCCACTGCACCGTATATATCCCTCGAGGCTGCTCTGGCCACAAAGCTGGTCCCCCACTAGGTAGGTATTATGAGAGGAGTTGATGTAGTAGTGGCTCAGGGGTTGGGTCATATCCTGGTAGATAGGGTAGCAGGCTGGGTTGAAGATGTCTCCATCCTTGGAGCAGAGGTAGCTAAGGAAGCCATCCATGCTCAGCACGTGCCGCCGTTTGCCTAGAGTGTGGGGTGAGGAAACACTAGAGTGAGAAGCTCCGAGTAGGGGCTCCCAGCACACTACAGCCTCTCCTCCCTCCACCTTACCTCACCCCTCTCCAGGGGCCTGCCTTTCAGACTGTGTTCACTCCCAGTCTCCAGATCCCAGACTTGCCTTACCTAGCACCTATCATTTCAATCATTTCCACTCTCAGAGAACGTTAAAGCTTAAAGGAGGAATCATCAAAGTCATTCTGGACTATCGCTACCTAATAGAAGTTTTTACAATGATGGAAACATTCTATTCTGTACTAGCCAATATGGTAGTCTCTCACCACTTGTGGCTATTGAGCACTTGAAATGTGCCTTGTGTGACTGAAGAACTGAATTATAATTTTATTTGGTTTCAGTTAATTGAACTTTAAATAGCCACATGGAGCTCATGGCTAATGCATAGCACAGCATCTTGTTCAGAGGGCTAATTTTATAGATGAGGAAACAGACCCAGAATCAGAATGAAAGGCTTGGTATCAAAGGCCAAAGTATCTGTAAGTTTTTCCCCCTGGGCTGCATAGAGACCTCCAACTGTGACCTATAGTCAATGCTCCTATATGGTACTTTGAGGGGAATTTGTCCAACAATCCCCTGGGCTACACTCTCATTGAGGACATGGACTTGAAACTCCTCCAATAACTCTCACTATTCTAGCATGGACTTTCTGTAATGACAATGATGACTAACAGTTATTGAGTATTTGCTCTGTGGTAAGCACCTTATATGTAGCATCTAACTTAATGCTCTCTCTAACTCAATGAGGTATGTATAATATAATCCAAGCTCACATAATTAGTAAGTGGAGGGCCTGGGATTTGAACCCTGGTAGCCAGGTGTGAGAGCCACACTGGGCTATGCAATCTCACAGAGGGTTAATGTTGCTGAAGTGAGGCTCCCCTGGAAGGTGGAACAACTTGACTCTCATGCCCGGCTTCCTTGCCCCAGATTTGACAAAGCCAGGAGATGGTAGAGAATGGTAGAAAGCTGGGCAGTGAGTTTCATTCTGAGAGTAATATCTCAAATATCTAGGGTAAGTCCACAGTTGCCAGATACTTTTAAAGTGTATAATTTGGTTTAATCACCAATTATTTTACAAAAGAAGGAATTGAGTCTCAGAGAGGTTAAGTGACTTGCCCACTTACCACTTTATCCGAAGAAATAAAACTTCCAGGACCCCAAACATCCAACAGATTTTCATATTTTGTGAAAAAAGACACTCTGTGACCACTCAGGTAAGACTAAGCAGTAAATGAATGAATGAATGAATGGGAGTGGGAGTTGAGACTCAGCTTTCATTCATACCACCTCGAATCCTCATTCTCAAGAAGCACCAGGTAGAAACCAATGTCTGGGGTTGAAGCCCAGTTACTCCTCTCACTAGTGATTGGCTTTGAGCAAGTCATTTAATCTTTCTAAGCCTGAGTTTTCCTCTTTTATTAAAACTGACTTAATTATAGAACCTATTGCTTGAACTTTGAGCTGCTGTGAAGGGTGATGAAAACATTTGGAAATGGATAATGATGTTGGTTGCACAACATGTAATTAATGCCACTGAATTGTACATTGGAAGAATGTTGAAACTGCAAATGTTTTGTTACATATATGTTAACCACAATTTTTTTTACAGAATAGAACCTTTTTCATTGGGTCATTGTGAGGATGAGAAGAGAGAAGGCATGCACAGCTATTAGCATGGGATGGTAGCAGAGGCCCAGTAGAGATTATTGCTGCTGATTTACAGGGTTGTAGTGAGGACTAAATAAAGTGAGGTATGTGAACCCACTGCCATCGAGTCGATTCTGACTCACAGCTACCCCCACAGGGTTTCCAAGGCTATAAATCTTTACAGAAGCAGATTGCCTCATCTTCCTTCCACAGAGCAGCTGGTGGACTTGAACTGCCAGCCTTCTGGTTAGCAGTCAAATGCCTTAGGCACTGTGCTACAGAGCTCCCACAGGATTGTAGCGAGGACTAAACAAAGTGAGGTATGTGAACCCACTGCCATAGAGTCGATTCTGACTCATAGCGACCCCACTGGGTTTCCAAGACTGTAAATTTTTATGCAAGTAGATTGCCTCATCTTCCTTCTGCAGAGCAGCTGGTGGGTTCGAACCAGCAGCCTTCTGGTTAGCAGCCAAATACCTTAGCCACTGCACCACCAGGGCTCTTGAGGTATGTGAAAGTGCTTTGTAAATCACTTATTAGTAATAATGTAAATTCCTCACACTCTGAAGGGAATAGAAAGTAGGAAGGAGTCTACTGAAGGGATAAGGGATGAAAGGTTTGAGGGCAGAGAAAGCATATTTTAATTGTACTAGTTAACAGTTACATGATTGGCTGTCTCGTCATCCACCCAACCAGAGACTGACTATCTTCCTGGCTCAGGGCCTTAGGCATTCAAGAACCACTCATAGAATCTGGAGAGAGCCCAAGAAAGGGCAGAATCAGCACTTAAAGAGACAGCACCCAGGAACCATGATAGGGCACTAGAGGAAAAGGAATAATTTGTACCAGAGGAGAAAAGGCCAAGGCAAGAGGACCAAGGATTTTCCCTTTCCACTGAGGACACTGGTTAATATCAGAAAGAATTTCCTGAAGTGAAGGATGTGAAACTTGAGCATAGCAGATCTGTGGACTCTTCCTCCTGAGAGATCTAGCATCACAGAGGACACCCCTGTCTTGTCTGGGCAGAGAATGGCTGCTCTTCTTCTGAGAGAGTGGTTGAATGAGATGATAGGGCAGGGCGGAGGGTAGGGGTGCACTCAGCCTGCTTTGAGTTAAGCAGGCTGCTTGTCCCTGGAGCTTTCTAATCATGTCCTCCTCTACCTCCCATGCCTGGTGCTTCTGCATCTCCTACCGCTATCTGATGGCTCATGGCGGTCGATGAGTTCCAGAGCAAGGTCAGGAGCTCGGTCTCCTTCTTTCTGCTCCTCTCGGAGGAAATCCACAAATTCCAACAGGGTCAGCTTCTGCCCATCAGCCGAGAAATTTTCAAACAATTCTTCCACCTCAGCCCGCTTAGTCAACGCCTTATAGAACTCTACAAATTCTTCTCCCTCCAGAGTCCCAGACTGAGACTTGTCTGCTGCCTGCCAGAGAGGGTTTAGGGAAGAGTGAGAAAACTCTTTAACCAGATAATGGACGGTCTTGACATGCCCTGGAACAGCAGTTTTACCAATGGACTGATCCAAACATGCTTTCACAAAACTCCTGATATTTAGTGTTCATGGAAGACCTACTTCAGTACGTGAAGGGCAAAATATCAGCCATGCCATTTGCTACAAGAGAAAGTTTTCAACTGGAAAGAGTTGGATGTTCCAAAGGTCCCTAAAGGGTCAAAAGATTGCATCTCCTCTTTACTCACATTCTAGTTGGGGTTTTCCATTTACTAGGTACCTGTGACATTTTGGCCATGGACAGGATGATTCTTGAGTTGGATATAGTAACATATTATTATTCACCTTTTATGGGATCATTGTTGTTGTTATTTGCCATTGAGTCGATTCTCACTCATGGTGACCTTGTGTGTGCAGAGTAGGACTGTTTCAAAAGGTTTTCAAGGCTGTGACTTTTCAGAAGCAGATTGCCAGGCCTGTCTTCCAAGGTGCCTCTGGGTGGGTTCGAATGGCCAACTTTTCAGCTAATACTTGAGTGCTTAACCATTTGCATCACCTAGAGACTCTTCTTTCCAACAAGACTGAAGGGTACTTCCCTCAATTCCCCATCAAGTGTGGCATGGTTCTAGGGTGTACAGTAGGGATTCAACAAATAATCATTGCTGAGTACAGTCAGAGTACTTCTGGCCAAGTGGGAATATGGCCTGGCTGACTCTTGCAAACCCTTTCCCAGCAGACTCACTTGGAAAAGCTGGAAGGCATACTCTTGGTCCATTTCCACATTCATCAGGTGCAGTAACCGCTGGACTTCTCGGAAACTCATCCGACCATCCTGGTTTTTGTCTCCACGTTGAAACCAGTCGCTCAACCATCCAGGTCTGAGTCAAGGAAAAAGCACTGTGTGTGTGTGTGCATGTGTGTGTGTGTACAGATGTGTGTATTTCTACATCAACATCTCTCCCCACATCTTTGTCTCTCTCCCATGCCAATCCATTCTCCACACAGCTTCTCCATAATCTCCTCAGAGCACCAATCTATTTTCTCACTGCATGGCTTCAGAGCCTGCAGGAACCTCCATGTTGCCCACAGGAAGAAATCCATATTCCTTAACATAGAAGTCAAGATCCCCTTTGCCCCTCGTGATATTGCCTCAACCCAGCCTTCTCAATCTTTCTCTGGCTTCTCCTGTACTTTAGCCACACTCAGTGACTCCCTGTTCAGTGATGCCTCACTCTCCCTCCTCCTCTTCAGTTTCCTATCTCTGGGCCTTTGCTTATGCTGTTCCCTCAGGCTGGAATGTCTTTCCTTCCTCCTCTCTTCATGCTCAAATTCTACTCATTTTCAAGTTCCAGATCAAATATCCCTTTCTCCCTGAGCTTTTAGAACCTTTTTTGACTGCTAACCAGAAGGCTGGCGGTTCAAACCCACCAGCCACTCCTCAGAAGGAAGATTTGGGCAATCTACTTCTGTAGAGATACTGCCTTGAAAACCCAAAGAGGGGTTGCTATGAGTTGAATCAACTTGAAGGCAGTGATTTTTTTTTTTTTTTTTAAAGCTAGAATTAAGTATTTCTCCTTCTTTTGGACATCCACAAATAATCTAAGTACTATAATACTCTTATGATACTTATTTTCACAATTCCATTCTCTCCTTTGATTGAAGCAAAATCTGGCTGTATTATTAATCAGCACATTTTGCTGAATAGATGGTGAATGAATGAATGAATGGAGAAGAAGGCAAGTACAATTCAGGAAACTTGAAGTGGGTCTACACTCTACGCCCTCTAACAATTGCTTTCCACCGCTATGGTAGTTGCTCAATGCCACCTTCTGTTCAGCTCCTGGGACCAGCACCTTGTTTGGTCCTTTGCCTCCCACTGTCCTTCCTCCAATCCTGGGAGTTCTGATTCATGCCTGGATTCTGGGCTGTAACTTTGCCACCCCTAGTACCCATCTTTCCCTCAGGATCCTCAGCCTCACGTGGGCCTGAGCTCCCCCTGCCCATCCTATCTGAGCCTTTGGACCTCCATAGCCTTTGCAGCTCTTCTTACCTGTCTCTGGCCCTGCAGCATCTGGCTTCTCAGTGACCCCCACCCCTACCCTGACTCTGTCCTGCTGATACTGGTCCAGCCGCTCCTGTTGGTCCATGCTGGTGACGATATCCACCAGCAGCTGGAGTCCTCGCATCCAAATTTGGGCCTCCTCGGCACTGTTGGCTACCAGGTCAAGGTTGGAGCGGCGGCCGTGGAAGATGACAGTGAAGCCCTGCTCCAGAGGGAACTCCTCTGCCAGGCTGCGCAGCAACTCAGACTCGTGGCCCTCACGCACTGTCTCCACATCAGAGATCGAGACTGCCAGAGAAGAAGTGGGTGGGGGCACTGAGGAAGGGATTCCCCAAAATGCAGGAGCCAAACACCAAGGACAAGTACCTCTTCTTTGTGAAGCCAGAGGGAGGAGGAACCCCAGCCTCTACAGGCTGGATCTCAAAAAGCATTAGTACAATGCTTACTTCAGCAGCACATATACAAAAATGGAATGATACAGAGATGAATATGGCCCCTGTGCAAGGATGACCCAGAAAGTATTAGTACAAGGACACACAGATGCCTGGGACTCAGGCGTGCACATGAGTCATTGCTGTTTTCATAGGCAGCATGGCAAGGGGCCTGTGCTGGAAATGGTAAGACTAGACTTCCAGCCACCAGCTGGCAGTGTGACACAGACCAAATAACTTGCCCTCTCAGTGTCCTCATCTTAAGTAAGGGATAGGCCCCTTTTATGGCCAGTCTTTATGGGGATCACATGGGGGTCAGAAGGGCTGACAGATGGAAATACACTTGAGGGGTAGAAGCAGTTACATGAAAGCATTATATGCCAAATCCAGTTCTCCCATCCCAGGTTCGAGGGCTTCCTCTTCCCAGAATGTCTAGGAAGGAGACAGACAACTTCTTCCACCCCCTTACCTCAGCTATAGCTGGTGTGGATCATGCATGAGCCTTGACAGTGTCTCTAAAGCAGACTATCTTAGATGTGCCCTATGATCAACTTTCTAGAGGTATTGTAAAAAGCTTGGCTGATAGAGTGCACACTATTATGATGCTTTTATGATATTAAAACCATTTATCATAATGGCTAACACTTATTAAATGCCTCCTAATCTCAGGTCCCACATTAAGTGCTTTGCACATTAACTCATTGAGTCCCTATAACCTATGAGGTAGGTACCATTTAATCCTCATTCTATAGATGAGGAAACTGAAGCTTAGATGTTAATTAATTTATCCAAGTTTACTCAGCTAGAAAGTGGCCAAGCAAGGATTTTAATTCAGGCTGGCAGATGCCTGGGAGCATGCTCTTATAACAATGATGACAAGACAGAAGCTGTGATGTATAGAGCCTTATTATGTACCAGGCAGGGTTTGAACCATTTGAATTGGTTCAGTCATTGCCAACCCACTGAAATCAGAATAAACCTGAATTTGGTAAAATGTGAGTGTACCAAAGGATAACCGAAACGGGAAAAATTACGTGTTGAAGGCCTGGAATGCGAGACTTGGAAGAGGCATGTGAGCCCTTTCAGGAGCCTGATGTGGGAAATTGGATTGTGGCCAGGACTGTTTTGAGTGACACACATTCAAAGTGGTGTGGTTGTCCACATCTTTGAGCTAGGTGCTATTGTTTTCGACTCAGTCCATCAAGAGATTTGGTTGCTATCTAACCTGCACACTGTCCTTATTTTTTAACAGAGAGATTAAGTTTCTAGCAGGGCTTGACCCATAATTTTCCCCATTCCAGTTAGTGTTCCAGTTCACTCATATTTTAAAACTTCGGGTCTGTTCCATTGTTGTTTTCTCAGACATAACTGAACCAAATTGAACTGGTTCGTAGCCTTGGTTTTAATCTTCATTTTACAGATTCAGACATAAGGGCCAAGTAAGGACAGCACAACAGCACATTCTTGTAAGATCCTGGTCCCTCACTTACCCTCAGGCTGCGGGGGCCTGTCAAGGTCCTAGCCTACCACTTGCCCATCCCCCAGCTATCCACGTTACTCACAGCTGGGTTTGGCACGCCACCCGATCTGCCGGGAATGCCAGACTGTCATGCCATCATCCTGAAGTCTGAAGTATCGTAGCTTCTTCCAGTTTTTGGACCTCACCTTGCGCATCTGCATGCCTTCCTGCATTAGCTGCAGGTCTGGGTCAGCGGGCAGCCCTGAGCCAAGAGAAGTAGGGGCTGAGTAGCCAGTGGGGAGGGGAGGGCCCAGGAGGAGCTCTGAACAGGGTCCAGCCTCCTCCCCTTCCTTGGGCTATTTCCTTCAAGCCTTCTTTCCCCTCAGGAGTACTTACGGACTCCTTGCAGCAGGGACGCCATCACTCACTGCTCCACCAGCTGGCGCCAGAGTCACCTAAAAGAGCAAGGAGGAGCAACGGTCTTGGGTGACCCTAGGTGGTTTTAGAATAACAGATCAAAGGCAGAGGAGAAGAAAACTAATGTTTCCTGAGTACCGACTATGTGTCAGACACTTCACCTACATAGTCTGTAGCTATTTTTCCTCTGATATGAATTTGGTGACACTTGAGAGGCTAAGGAACCTACCTCAAATCACATAGAGGACTTAGAATTTAAACCCAGATATGACTGATCTCAGAGCCCCTGTTGTTTCCTATGACCATCTCCACAGAGCACTAACCAGGGCTCTCTGCCAAATACCCCCTTCCTACCCAATATCCTGCCATCCACTGGGCAGCCTCATGCCACACTGCTCACTTCTCTCATTGTTAGGAACCACTGTCTTGTTGGCTTCCAGAACCTGGAAGTGCTTCACATCCTAGCCTTCTTTTCTCCAGGGGAATCATCCCAGCGTCCCTCCTCTGGGAACCCTCTCCATGATCCCTTATAGATAGTCCAGCTCCTGAAGGGTTAGCACAGAGTGTCTCTTTAGTCTCTTCTATAACACTAAGTGCTGTACTTAGCTAAGTGAGCTCTCTTTTACTTTTTACATTGTAAAGCATAACTAATACTCTTTTTCATAGCAGTTATTCTCACAGTTTTAACAGACCGAGTAAATTACATAAATCTCAAAACGGTATTTTCAAGTTTTCTTTACCTACTGAAAAAAAGGTCCCTTCTTTCCAACTTATGCTGTCCACTTTAGGATTTGGTTAAGTCACCTAGGAGTCCCTGAGTGGTGTAAATGGTTAAATGCTCAACTGCCAGCTGAAAGACTGATAGTTCAAACCCACCCAGAGGCCCCTCAGAAGACGGGACTGGCGATCTGCTTCTGAAAGGTCAGAGCCTTGAAAACTCTATGAGTAAGTTCTATTCTGCACATATGGGGTCACACGGAGTCATCATGAGTTGGAATAAACTCAACACCAACTAACAACAATGAAGGCACCTAGAAACTAGCAATCAATTTCCCTTGAAAAGAACCAGAAGATTTGATATGTGGCCACCTTGATTCTAGCTCTGCCCACATAGAAATACTCAATTCTTTACCAAATCATGAAACTGACAAAGCTCGTGAAACATAAAACTATAGTTTTGCAGAAGCAATGGACCTATCACTTCAATAGAAACTTGTTATGTTTTTTAATTAGTAAATTAAAATTTTGTCCGTGGTAAATATCTAAAAAATCTGTATCTAAATATCTAAAGAATCTGTAAAGTGATCATTCAGTTAATGTTCCATTAAAACATCACATAGTTCAGTTTCTTTTATCATAGAAATGAAAAAGCAGACTTCAGATATGTGATGTGACTTGTCTAAGGTCACACAGCATGTTAGCACCCTATCTCTCTTTAGTGGGAAGAGTCTCTAAAGTCATCCATGACTAGTTTTAGGAAGAATGTGAGAGTAACTGTGAAAACACAGCTTCTCTGACTGCAGAGAAGGCTGTCTAACAAGGTAACAACGTGCAGGTGTCCAGAGTGAGAGGGTTGATTGGAAAGTGGCCTGGCCTAAGTGACAGCTAAAGATAGCTCAAGGCAGCTCTCAAGAACTGGAATTGTGACAGTCACAGGAAGAAGGATTCTACTAAGGACGAAAATGAGTGCTTGAGTGACACCAGAAAAAATCTCTGTGTGGAAGGGACTCAGAGTGCTATCTGGGAGGCAGAAAGTATCTCTGCTTTTCCAGGTGGAAATACACAGTTTGGAATCACAGGCATACAAAGGCTGTGATATGAAGAGTGAATAGAAAATAACAGGTCTCTCCAATGGCTTAGGTCCTCAGACTTTAAGCAGGGTTGGCTTTGGCTGAAGTCTAGTCCCCCTTGCCAACATCCTGCCTCATCTCCTGTGTGGACCTCGGCTCCCATCTCTGGGAGCATAGGAACTCTAGGATGGGGTGTGCCTTGGGCCTGGAAGAGAAAATTCCCTTCCTTTACTCTAGGATATCACAATGATGTCTTGAAACATGGGTAGCCTGAGAATAGAGCCCAAATGCCTGGACACTTTTATTTTGGAGCCCACTTCCTCTCAAATCAACCATTGAAAATAAGGATTTTGTTCTTCCTTTGCCAAACTCTTCCAACTTCAGGGCTTGGCCTTGGTCTTCTAATCCTGCTCTCATTGCTTAATCACTACTTTAAACCTGTATTCAGGTAAGATGTGGCCATAAGTGGGCCAGTTTCAACTCATGGAGCCACAGAATCTAAGGACTGGACTTCATTTTATAGACAAGGGAACTGAGGACTAGAAAGATTAGCTGAATTGCCTGAGTCACCTAATGAGATAAGTGGCAGAACTGGGATTGGAACTAAGATCTCCATAAGATCAGCTCAGGGATCTCACCAAGACTCTTGCGCTTAGAAAGAACCTTCTCTTGGGAGCAGATTGAGGCTGGGTTAGGAATCAATATGGGACACTATAGCTTTATCTTTCTCCTCCATTATTTTCTGTTTCCTCTATATCCCACATAATAGCCTTTCCCCCACCTTTCTTCCCATTTTCTATTTTGTGCCCGATCCTTCATTCTCCTTTCTCTCTAGCTCACCCCTCTTTCTCTCAATCCTCCCTCTGCCTTCCTGTTTGCTCACTTAAGTCGTTTCTGTTTGCTCCTCTGTCACCTCTTCCTATCAGTTCCCTCCTTTTTCTTCACTAACTCCCAATAGCTCTGATTCTTAACCCCTTTGAAGATTTTGAGATTGTGGTGTAGGTGGAGACACTCTGGTTTGGACATTCAGTAGCGGATCCCTCTGCTCACCCTTCATTTTCCGTGTCCTAGGGAACTGGCTAAACAAACTGCCCAGAGAATAGAGAGTTGAGACCCAAGAGTCTTGGTGTCTCCTCTGGTGTCTGAAGGCAGGGTGGGAAGGATGGTCACAGCTGATGTAGGTGCAGTGAGAAGACAAAGGAGGAAGGATTTAGGAGTAGGGGCATGGCAAGGAAGAGGATGAAGACTAAGAGTAAGAGAAACTGGGTCTTAAATATTAACTCCTAGACACACATACACCGGTGGTAGTTCGTTCTGTCGTCCATGGGGTTGCTATGAGTCAGAGCTGACTCGACAGCACCTAACAACAACAGATATATATATGCAGAAATCCTCAGAGATTTGAGGCAGGATAGCATTTATACTACAGATGGGGAAAAAAGAGACACAGAAGAAGAAGGAAATCATCCAGGCCTCCAGAGTAAGATTTGGTCTTCAGCTTCCAGGTGGCTTCACATCACTCTGGGGATGAACTTTTACATGTCTCCAGTGGCACCAATGGCATTACAGCAGGAGGCAGAGTGTCTAATGTCTCTCTGAGGGGCAGGAAGGAAGAGAAGCATTTTGTCTACATCCTTGCTTCTGAGAAGGATTATGCCTGACGTGGTTCATATAGAGGACAGAATGGCTCTGGCCACAGGTCATAGCCCTCAGAATGTTAGCACTTGAAGGTTTTTTTTTTTTTTTTTTTTTTTCAAAGTAACACTTCTAACCCAGAGGTTAGAAGTGGCTACATCAGTATCTTCTGGAGAGGGTCATAAAAGAGATTCCTGAGCCCCACCCAAAATACACTGATCAGAATGTGCAAGGATGGGACCAAGAGAGTGTGCTTTTAACAAGCACCCCTGGTATGAAGGTAAATTTGGGAAATCCCGAATTCTCCCTTATTACAGAGCATAATGTTCTTGTGGTCTAAAGTCACAAAAGAGTCAGGACAAGAAGCAAGTGCCTTTTTTCAGTGAAACTGCTCTGGCCCATTTAGCAGACTGAAAATCGAGTTCCAAAACTCAAACCTGGCTTTTTCCAACGAAGTCTCATCCCGGGTTCTTCCCACTACCAGGGGTTTCTGCGTGCCCTCATGGGACCGACCCTCAACATTTGCTAAGGAACCTATGCTAAATCTCTGGCTACCCCAATTCTCTTTTCCCTTGGAGGGTAGGGCTCCCATCTGAGGAGTGCTAGAGATAGCACCCCTGGCCCTGGATAGCTAAGAAGCCCCTGAAAGACAGGAGGCATGTAAGGGGGTGACTGGCACAGCCAAGAGGAAACTGTCAGAGTCAAAGAAAATAAGCTGGACACTAGGAGGTCTTAGCCATGTAGAGCTGTTCGGGTGGGAAAGGGAGTGCGGACCACAACGGAATCAGGGTGGATAAGCAGCTGGGAGGGCACAGCTGGGGGCACGAGCAGGGCAGAGGTTGGAGCAGAGGCTGGCCAGAGTCTGCAGACCCTTACCGTGGGCGGGACAGCAGGATGGCAATCTTGTGTCGGAGCTCTGCCTCCCAAGCGCTGCGATGCCCTCCACTGTGGGCTGAGGAAGCCCAGCCTGGCTCCTTTGTTTCTACTGCTCACTTCCTCCTCTCTCCTACTGCAGCGGCTGCTGTGGCTGGCAGAGTCACAGCCAGAGGGAAAGGGTTAGGTGGGGAGAGGTGTGCGCTCTCTCCTCAATGCAGCCCTTTCACCACTTAAAGGCCCAGGACACTGTGAGGGAGTGCTGGGGGTGGGGCGGGGAGAAGAGGATTAAAGGGAGGGATTGGCGGCCACCACATCTCAGAGAGGAGGAGCCGGCTGTCCTTCATCTTGATGCCAGTGCTCACTGACCCCAATCTCACAGTAGCTCTCCAAGTGAAACCCAAGGAGTGTCTGAGTTGCTGTGCTCCTTGAATCACCGCTTTTCATTCTGCTCGGTGGCTCTCTGCATGCAATACAGCTGTCTGTGCCCTTATTTCACCTGGCTCCCTTCCATGGTGTCTGTTTCCAGGGGCCTGCTCCTGTGTCTCTGCGTCCTGCCTGGTAGGGCACTCAGTCTAGCTGTATGGCACCGGGAAAGGAAGAAAGGAAGAGGATGGGAGAGGAGGAGAATTAGGGGAACAGGAGGAGAGCGATGATCTCAGCATATAGAGGGACCAGTTAGTTATCCATGTGTACAGTAGGCACT